CAGATGTTTGGAGATAATATTTGATTCGGATTACGTTAACTTTCAAAGAAGAAATGTTCATTTCTTTATGTTTATATCTTTTGTTTTGTTTCAATTATTGCTTTTAGTGTTTGGTATCATAACATTACTTCTTTTTTAAAAAATTCTTTATATTCTTTTGCAGTGTCGATGAGCAGGTACAAAAGGACATACAACTAATAGATGCTATTTTACGGAGAAACAAGCTCTAATATTCTCTGAGGAATGCAAGTTGTTCCTTGCTGATGTGCAGATTCAATCCTTATATCCATTGTAAGCAGCCCCCTTTTGCCTTATGAGTATCCACATGCCTATCTGATTCTGCTTTTCCTGTTCCTCTTTTATTTGCAATACTATTTAAATGTAAGTCAAACTTACATTTTCCTCTTGAGCTTTGATCAACAGAGCCCTTGATTCATCTGAGTTGATGACTGTCCAATAACTGCCAATATGTTGCCCTGTCTGTTGCTGAGGATCAGCTTCAAGAATGCCCTTGCCAGAGAGCTGGTATTTGCCATGATTCAAATACTCAGCTATCACGCCTATGTGACTGAGCCTGAGAGTATCCGTTTTTCGCATTTCCTGATAGTACCATATTTCCATCATAGCAGTCAATATTTCTTGAGACTAGCACTGGATAGTGGGCCTTCTCTTACTACATGTATCTAGCCATTTAAACCAAAATATGGAACTATCATATGCCATGGACTGTTGGGTTATAGAATTAATTTCCTGCTAGTCCACTAATGCTACTAGCCTCCTGCCTCCTTTAATGACTCCACTCCTACTTCTATCGCATTTCCACAATTTAAGATGCTTATATAGTGCTTTAGCTGAACCATTTAGCTATGAAGATCATGCTCTGCTACTAGCTTCCTGCCTCCTTTATTAGACCACACTCCTACTTCTACTGCAATGTCACAATTTAAGGTGCATATATAGTTTTTTAGCTGAACTGTTTAGCTATGAAGATCATACTCCCAGCATAGGTCCCATTACAATTAAAAACAATCCTATACTGCAATTGAAGACAATTTCAGACTTTGAGTTAAATTCCAATGTCATGATTTGTAGTTTGCTATCAGCAGATGTAGTGACATTTTCTTCCTTCAATCAAGTTTGTTTGCAGACCTGATGTTTCTGAGCTGGAGTCAAAGCTTTCAGAACAGTCCAAGATACTCTCAAATCTTCAGCAAGAAGTTGATGACTTGGCATCAAAGGTTTATCCTAGCTCCTTAGCTCATGGTTCATCATGTTTTTTGAGTTCCATCTTTGTGTCTGTTAAACTTCATGCGTCTATTTCCTGAAAGTGCAGTGCTCTTTGATCAGTTTGATGTTATATTTTCCTTTAAGGCATATTTTTACTGTATGTGGCGTATTTATTGGGAATAAAGAAGTGCCACTCTTCATTTACTCTATAGGCTACATAGGAATTTGTTTTCCCTTGGGATGAGAATAAAATATTCAGCATTTATCAATAAGCTTACTGTTTTGGGATTTTCAGAAGTTGAGTTATTGTGCTTCACAAAGTGTTGAAGATGGTTATTCTGTTACCAGACTTTCAACAATTGCTATTGTATTTTAAAAATTTCTCCCCACTGGGAAGATAGTTTTTGCAATTTTCTGAGTCTATATGGTTTCTGAATTATTGTGTTTTTCTGGCAGTGAATCGTCCCAAATTTTGATTTCCTGCTGTATGTTTATGCAGCCATAATTTTTTTTAATTTTTTATGTGCATGTGTTTGTGCATGCTCATGTGTCTGTTATTAATTACATGTGTTTTATTTCTTTAGTTTAATTCCAAATTTCCCCCCTTTCTAGTATGCTTACAACCCTGACAAGGACTATACAGAAGTGGACTCTAAACTGCAGGCACATTTGGAATATTTTCTTGAAACTACAAGATCATTCAATATGATTTACACCGAGGTCTGGCTTGCTGTTGCTTTTTGTTGATATGCTTCTACATGTTTGATCTCAGTTATCTCCTATATTCAAGAACAATCAATTGAAAGACCTTGCTACATTTATGTCTTAATTTTATATTCTCTTTTTCTTCATGCTCTTGGCAGTATGGGTTACTCTGATGATTTTTAGTTAATAGTAATATAGCATTTATTGTTTTGATGCCCCAAATCCCTATGAAGAAGGTTATTAGCGGAAAAGCTTTTAGTTTAATTTCAATACATAAATGGTCTGAAGTTTAATTGACTTCATTGACACTTTGGACCTGCACGCATGTATTCATGTATCTCGTCTGGTTGAGGTGTTCTGTATTTAATATGATCATTGATTTTTCTTGCCTTAGAATTTCTCTGTAGTGCATCTTTCTTCAATGGTCTTAATTTTGAAAGTTTTCCTCATAGGAAATTCGTCCAAGGACACATATGATGGAGGCACCACAACTTCATGGGTTTGGGCCTGCTGCCAATTGCTTATTGGAGGCTTACAAGATGCTTTTAAAGGTATCCCAATGTTGATTCTATTGTTATCCTAACTTTTGGTGTAGGAAGATGATAGCTGGCTTTCTCAACGGTTTAATTTTTCATAAGCTTAGCTGTGTAGATGATTCAGGTGCTTGTCTTTTGATTTCACATCTCCCTACCTTTGTTGCTTACATTGTTTAGGAAGACAGTTTTGCTAACACAGTGTTATCGTCTGCCTTCATGAGAATGCATATAGATGTCTACCCATTTGTGTAACACATGCAATAGCTGGGTAGACTTATGTGGACTAATGTGCTGAAATGAACATTTTCACCTGGCGTGTTTCAGCTAGCACCTCTCTTTCTTCTCACATCAATGTGAATTAATACTGCCAATTAATTGTAGCATATAACCACTCTTATATCTTACTTCCAATAATTAGCATTCGGATCTAGATTTTAAAAGTTTCAATTTAGAGCTGTCATAAATTCATCACATATTAGAAATGTGAGATTGATTGCTTTGGGGAAATTAATCATTGAGGAAAGTTGGATGAATGATCAATAACAGTAGGTAGCTTAGCTAGGCCAAATCTAAGTTAGATTGCTTGCATGACTTTGGGTTTATGTGCTTTCCATTTTCCTTTCTTTGATAATTAGCTTGCTCATAAGCCCTAACTATTATCTTGCACGGTATCTTTAGTATACATGAAATGGCTGGATGACAGGCATGTTTATGTGTCACGCAAGAATCATCATCTGAATTTATTATGGCAAGAGAAAATATCATAATACGTACATAAATAAATGAGGGCACGCACACATACATGGAAGGGGAGAGCAGATCAGAGATAATGTTAATACAAACTAAGATGCCACATGATCCCACTATGATTTCATATAAGTTTCAGAGTTCAGACTTCAGTCCTGGAATATTTGATGATTTTCAACATTTTAACCATTCTTCACATATTATGTTGTTGTAAATAAACTCAAGATTCCTCTGTTTCTTTGGCAGTTCCTGGGCAACTTGAGGAATCTGAGAGACTCACATGCCCGCTCTTATGGTTGGATCATCTGAAACAGTGGCTGGTGGACCCTCTCCTGTAACAAGAATTATTTTTGAGTGTGAGTCTGCATTGACATTCTTGAATTGTGATCTTGGAATTCTCTAGGCTTCTATTGTCCGTGAGCAAGGCAAGAAGGTAAATTTATGATGATTGTAGCTAGACACAAAAAAAAGCATTGACAGAGTATCTCTCTGTTTCGAAGAGTGTGTATGTTCCATTAGAAAGATGCAACATATTGTCTTTTATTCAAGATATGAACTTGTATTCGGATTCGGATTCGGTTAAAGACCTGGGTTTTTGAGTGTTCGCCTCGTATGATGCAAGTTCTTCTGGATCTAAAATCTTGGTGGCTGTCAAAGGGTGGAATCTGAATTGGTTTTGGATTAATGTAGATGTAGTAGCAACTTTTGAGTCATAAGAGTTATTACAAGTGTGAATCTGACAAATCTTAAATTGTGATATTGGATTCCCTTGGCCCAATCATTTGTTAGAAGGTGATTCGTATCATCTACCATTTGATTGACTGTAATTTTTGCGGTTTGATTGCTTGAACCAATGAAGATTTGGCTGGTTACAATGCTAATTTGTAATTATTTCAAAATGCTTGTATTTTTACTTTTGTGTTTTGACACTCCACTATTTATGCTTCACCATCTTGTCCTGTTTTTATTGTTTACCTTTCTGATTGGAGAGGAGTAAAATCTAGTAAAAATGAAATTACAGATCCTATCCACTCAAGAAAATAGAGGTTCTGCTCCTTTTGTCTTCAGTAATTAATGAAATTTTCTTAAACCATACATTGAATTTGTAGATAGCACATGAAAAAAGAATGCGCTATTAGTGAAAATCGAACCTAGATATGACAAATGAAATATTCTATCTTTGCTAATTCAACCATCATTATCTTTACCAATTCAAATAATTGATAAAAAATAATTTTAAAACAGTTTTAACATTTATGTTATTAAATCGCATAATAATGTGAATTGTTATAGCTGGTTCGGTACGATTAAATGCCATCGGGATTAATTACCATTTAGGGGTTAATTATCATGGTTAATTTTGTCCACCGGCATGATTTTTCAAATTCTTAACATCATTAATCTTCCTATATGTAATTGCAAATTAATTCAAAGGTATGAACGCAAAAATGTTAAAATTATACGTTTCCATTGAATTTTGACACTGATATTCATACAAAAAACAATGGTAATTAATTACAAAATAATTTCGAAATTCATCATCAATCTATAATATTTATTAACAAAACTTTAATTTTGCTAAATCAAAAGGTCCATTTCATGACATCAATTTTATATATAATAATATATAGTACTAAATTTTAATTATAGTAAATCAGTACGTATCAAAAGTAATAATTTGTCTCAATAACGTAAAAATGTTCTCCACATTCACTTTATGAAAAATATGGTTAGATCAGATGAGTTCGAAATGTAACAAGGTGGCATCTAGTTATCCTTCTTTGTAAAAAAATATTGTTAAATAATTATCATTTAAGGTGGTTCATTAATTCACCTGAAAATTCATGAATCAAAAATGGAAATCACAGTCATTAAAGATATTTACAATGTGATTTGGTAAAGGCAACATAGAGTTAATCTGCTGTGGCCAACTAAAGATGGAAAATCATTAATTCACAAGATCAGAAGTAGGAAGTTTTTTTCTTTTCTGAGATTTTATGGTACTAAGAATCTCAAAAAGATTCAATCATGGAAGGAATGCATGTATCTGGCAATATATATTCATATACTTCGTCCTAAAAAGGGAAATTGATTGTCATTTGCTCATATTACCATAAATTATTCCTGAAATTTCTGAATCTTAATTTGTTTTGTCTCAATTCATATCTCCTTTCAACACTATAAATTGACGACAATTCTAGACACCCAAACCATCAATCCTCTCAAGTATAGCCTCCATCTTCTCCTAACAATGGCAGCTATTGTCAATCCTATCACTCTTTTATTCCATGTCCTTGCCATCGTTGGCCTCTCTTGTCTTTGCCTTATTGAGGCTCAAAAGGGTGGTTTCAGTGTTGAATTAATCCACCGTGACTCCCTCAAGTCCCCCTTATACAATCCCTTGGAAACTGCCTCTGATCGCGTAACCAATGCCTTGCGTCGTTCCTTTAGTCGTGTACATCGCTTCAAACCAAATTCGGTCTCAACGAAGGAAGCGGAAGGTGATATTATTGCCAATGCGGGTGAATACCTGCTGAATATATCCATTGGTTCTCCAGCTTTTGATATTGTTGCTATAGCTGATACAGGAAGTGATCTTATTTGGACTCAATGCAAGCCTTGCTCCCAGTGTTTCCAGCAAGATGCTCCCCTTTTTGACCCTAGCGACTCATCCACTTACAGAACCATTTCTTGCAGTGCAAGTCAATGTGAGAACCTTAAAGGAAGCTCTTGTTCTAGTGATAACTCTTGCCAATATTCAGTCACTTATGGTGATAAATCTTTTTCGAATGGCGATCTATCTGCTGATACAGTCACCTTGGCTTCGACAACTGGTCGCCCTGTAGCTCTTCCTAAAACAGTCATCGGATGTGGACATAACAATGATGGAACTTTCAATGAGAAAACTTCTGGCATCATTGGACTTGGAGGTGGTGATGTTTCGCTTATTTCCCAATTGGGAACTACAATTGCTGGCAAATTCTCCTATTGCCTGTTGCCTATTTCCCAAACAGGAAAGTCAAGCAAAATGAACTTTGGTTCCAATGCTATTGTTTCAGGGAATGGCGTTGTTTCCACTCCATTGACTAAAAAAGAGCCAGACACTTTCTACTTCCTCACCCTGGAGGCAGTCAGTGTTGGAAGCGAAAGAATAAAGTTTACAGGTTCTGTTTTCGGATCAGATGATGGTAACATCATCATTGATTCAGGCACTACATTGACCTTAGTCCCAGAAGAGTTTTACTCACAATTGGAATCAGCCGTTTCTAGCCAGATTAATGCGACAAGGGTTCAAGGTCCAGAGGGTTTGAGTTTATGCTACGATGCTCAAACTGACTTTGCAGTTCCAGATATTACAGTGCATTTCACTAATGCTGATGTCAACTTGCTGCCCTTGAACACCTTCGTCTTGGTTTCCGACGCAGTTGCGTGCTTTACCTTCAGTTCTAATCAAGATTTTGCAATCTATGGTAACTTGGCACAGATGAATTTCTTGGTTGGCTATGATACAGAAAAGCAGACCGTCTCCTTTAAGCCCACAGATTGCTCTAAGAATTAGCCTGGCAATTATTTTCTACAATGTTTTTTAGTAGTTGGATTCTATATTATGTTATATTAAATATTAATAATTAGTAGTTGTTTTTATAAGTACTTTGTTGTTCGTCCTTGTTGTTTCAAATAATATTCTCAATGTTATGATCACATTATCACATGCAATGATCTCTCTCTGTCCTTGTTCTATCTATTTACTCCTATTTTTATCTTTCGGGTTGATTCTTTTCACAAAAATTTTGGCTTCTCTACTTTAATTTGCAATAAAACCAAAAAGAAAAAATTCCGGCCTTGATATTTGTAAGTTGTTTTTTGTTCTTTTTGTCATCAGATATTTATCAAGCTTTTGAAGCATGAAAAATGGTTCCCAATTACCTTTAAAAGGCTGGATTTGAGAGAATGAATTCGAGGAAGCAAATGTCCAATTAATTGCTATAACATGAGGACAACAAAAATTATATGGAAAAAGGCCAAATTAGTCGGTGTACAGGTTCTTCATTTCAGAACCTGAAACAAGTATTTTTACCATTGTTATTGAGTCTCATAACTAGGTAGATACTCTTTGCAAGGAAATTTTTACGCAAAATTGGACTAATCTCTGTAGTTGGTGAGATTGATTCAATTTTGGGAAATGGGAGATTTATCCCAAAATTGGACTTTTTTTCATTGCAACTGCACATGCAATTTTGGCCTAAATCATGAACCGATTTTTCCTTTTTTTTTTTTTTTGGTGAAAATAAATTTAAGGTAAGGGAAATCACTTTGAAATCAAAATAGATCGCAGGACTTGAAAAATATTTACATAATTTCAGATTATTCATTAAAAAAGACTATTACAAAATTTTTACCCTAAACTAATATCTTTAGTTACTAGAGCATTAAAACTTGACTTTTTGAATAATTGATACATGCATCTATGTTGAATCTAATGGTAAGATTTGTTTGATTTTCATAAAATGCCTAAAAATTATTTGAGCTATTTAAGGCACATTTCTTTCCATTTTTGAGAGTTCTTGATTGATCTATTTGGTAAACTTGGACGGCAATTTGGCAATGAATTTTCAGTTGGTTGACTATCATCTGTATACTATTAAGTAATAATTTTTTTGTTACATAAGTAATAATTAATTTGGTTTTGCGTTGTATGTACTAAGCACATTACTTGTACTTTTTTTTTATTTATAAAACATTACTTGGAACTTCTTTGTTAATAATTATGTAATATTTTTCTTTTATAAAAAAGTTTGATATAAATATCTAGATATGTAACTCAATAATAAATATATGTATATTTTTTGTTTAAAAATTCAAGTTCAAATTTTCTTCTTCCAAGTCATAATAATAATAATAATAATAATAATAAAGAGAAATGATACGCCTACAAACATAGAAACCATGAATATTAAAAATAAAATAAAATAAAAAAACCCTTTAACGTGCCTCTCTTCTGCTGAATGCATAAGTGTAAGAATGTATGAAGTTACAGATTTTTATTTTTTGCTAAAAGATTGCTCTAAATAAAGAATCTGCTTTGAAGGGAAATAATTATCAATTTTGGAATTGAATATAAAACTGAGATTTGATAAATCCAAATAGGAGATGTCATTGTACTCAAAGATCAACTTGAATAAGAAAGTTTTATAACCAACCAAAATCAATTATGACAATAAAAAAAAAAATAAAAAGATATAATACATTTCCCCCATCAATCTTCAGTGTCCCTTTCAATCATGGCGGCTGAAAATGATCACTCTATCTTTTCCATTGCCTTGGCAACCATGATCTCTTGCTCTTTTCTTTCCAATTTCTCTTCTGTAGAAGCTCAAAATGGTGCTTTTAGTGTTAAACTAAATCATCGTGATTCTCCAAACTCTCCCTTCTTCAACCAATTAGAAAGTAGTTCGGAGCGAAAAGTCAATGCCTTGCGGTGATCTATTGCTCGTGTGAACCACTTTATTCCAAGTTATATCTCAAAAACCGATGCTCTATCTAATATCGGCTCCGATCAAGATGAATACCTTATGAATATACCAATTGGTACACCACAATTTGAGATTTTAGCCATTGCTGAGGCAGGTAGTGATCTTACTTGGACGCAATGCCATCCTTGTTCGGAGTGTTACAAACAGGATGCTCCTCTTTTCAACCCCAACTTGTCATCAACTTACAGAAACTGTCTTGCTCGTCAAGGCAATGTCTAGAATATGGGGATACCTCTTGTTCCATTAAGGCAAATGATACTTGCTTATATTCGATCTCTTATGGAGATAAATCATTCTCAAATGGAGATCTTGCCATTGATAACCCTAGGCTCCACAACAGGACAACCCGTTGCCTTTCCTAAAACTATCATTGGATGTGGCCACAACAATGAAGGCACCTTTAGTGAGAAAGGATCAGGCATCATTGGCCCTGGAGGAGGAGCTGTTTCACTTATTTCCTAAATGGGTACTGCAATTTCTGGCAAATTCTCCCATTGCTTGGTGCCATTTTCTTCCAAGTGTGCAGGAAAAAGCAAAATAAATTTTGGCACTAATGCTGTTGTTGCAGGTCCTGGGATTTTTTCAACTCCATTGGCTAAAAAAAGCCCTGATGTCTTCTACTTTCTTACCCCTGAAGTAATTAGTGTTGACAACGATAAACTAGAATTCACCAGCTCTTCCCTTGGAAATTCAAAGGGTAACATTATCATCGATTCGGGAACTACGTTGACACTCTTGCCTCCAGATTTTTACTCAAAATTGGAGACACCTGTGGCTAGCAAGATCGATGCGAAACGCATTGATGCACCGGTTGAGAGTTTGAGCCTTTGCTACGAAGCTCAAACTGATTTTGAAGTTCCAAATTCACAATGCATTTCACCGATTCCGGTGTGAAGTTGAGTCCTTTGAACACCTTCCTTTTAGTTTCGGAAGGTGTTTCACGCTTTACTTTGAGTAGTTATCCGGGTCTACCAATATTTGGTAAATTGGCTCAAATGAATTTCTTGGTTGGCTATGACATTGAAAATCAGGCAGTGTCCTTTAAACCAACAGACTGCAGCAAGGAGTAACTAGTTCAAATTGTTACTTGCTATTACAGTGTTATACGAGCCATTGCATAATTTTAATAAATTTTAATCCCTTTTCATGGAGTTACCACAAAAACTAATTTTCCTATCATCAAAATTGCAATTGTAGATTTTCACTCACCTTCACTAATATGCGTTATCCATATGAGAGGTACAGTTTTCACACAACCAAAATTTATCCCTTTCAAAGAAATCTTTAACTTTTAGGTTCTTCATTTGGCTGCAAAGAATTATCAATCCATTGATTGGTTGATTTCAACTCCAGATTAGAAGAGAAATCACCTTTTCAAGTATTTTTTTCAAAGACAATGCTTGCACTTGTCAATAGGGACGAAGTCAGAAATTCAATTTAGGACTAAAATTGTATAAGGGAACTTTAAATTTAAATATAATAGTATTAAAATTGTAAATAATGTATAAATTTCTTTTAATGAACAATTTTGTATAAAGAAAAATAATTTGTATACCTTTAATGAACAATTTTGTAAAATTAAAATAAAGGAATGCATACCTTTAAAAAATAAGAAAAATCAAATTCACCAGTAATTTTGTATAAAGATTATACATAATGATTTATTAACTGTCTTTAATTGTTTCTCTTTTATTAAACATAAAAAGAAAATTATTAACATGATAATTAACGTCAATGTATCTAAGGATTGATTTAAAAGGAAATGGAGAGAATTAATACTGGATGAGGTCAAAACTAAAGATAATATATATCCTTACTTTTAACCTTTTTTATTTTTTTTTTTTTCAGCCAAATGAAAAATTAAAGGTCAAAAGATAGAAAAAAAAAACCCCTTAAACTAAAATTTAATAATTATTGAGGTTTATATTGTTTTTTTTATCAATTAAAACCTCAAATATTTATTTTAATCAATTGAGCTCTTTTTAAAGGAAAAATATTTAATTATTTTTATCCAACTGAGGGTTTAATTAAGTAAAAATAAACATTTAAAGTTTTAATTGGATAAAAATAGATGTTTAAGAGTTTAATTGATTCAAAATAGAAAATTTAGGATTTGATTGTTTGCATTAAAATATTATAAACTTAAATAGTTATTGAATTTTTTTTTGAGGATCTTTTTATCCTTTTGTCAACATTAAAGCAATTAAAACTATAAGATATAAGTAATTAGTTATTGAAAAGCTACTACAATAAATATTATTCATTTGCTTTAAGCATGAGGTGGACTCTGATCTTCTTCTGTTGGCTCCAATAACCATCGGTTGAGACGTTCAGATGCCTTTTTCACCTGTCAAGCAAAAAATAGTAAAATTGCTTTAGTTTTATGAAAAATGGTTGAAATTAATGGGTTGATTTGGAATATTACAATTGTTTGAGTAAATGTACCTGCTCATCCCAGTCTGTTTTCCATACAAGGTAAGCAAGAATAAGCGACTGCATCGCCACCCCACTCATCAATCCAATCCATAGCCCCTACATAAGATTAGGAAGTTAACAAAAAATAGAAGTGTATCATGCATAGTATTGATCTTAGGTTATATTTTTACTTTTTGAATTTTTTTTTTAAAAGGAGAGATAGTATTAGTTGGTTTCTCGACCCATAACTATAAATACCAAGATTCAACAACTTTACATGCCCTATATATATCTGGGAATTTTCTTTCTCAATTTGTTCTTGGTTCTTACCTTAACTTGAAGATTGACGACATATCCAAGCAAAATTCCTATAGGTATTCCTACTACATAATAGCATCCCAAGTTCACATATGCTACCATGGTTTGTAAACCAGCTCCTACGGCTATACCTGGAGAAATAATTTCATGGCTGAATATTTAAACCATATGTAATTAGATTTTAAAAATAAAGGAAAAGAAAATTAACGAGACAAGTACTTGCCCGAGAGTACTGGTTGAACACTGTTGAGTAAAATTGAGAAAGCAAACAGAATTGAGAGACTTGACACAGCTTCTGCGACTTCTTCATCATTGGAAAACAAGTAAGAAATTTGATTTCTGAAAACCAGACATAATACCCACAAGACAATTCCAATACATGTTGAAGTGCCAAGTATGGTTTTTATTGCAAATTTAACAGCCTTAGCATTTCCTCTCCCCAATTCATTCGAAACGCGAACGCTGAAGAAACAAAATAAATATTACATTGAAGGAATTTCGAAAAGAAAAAAAACAAAGGCAAATGAGGTTGTTGCATCATAAGGCATTGCTGCTAGATTATGTACCTTGCTGCCACTAGGAAGCCAAGGCAAACCATTAATTCCCATCCATTGATATTGAGGCTGCAGCAAGAAATTAGCTCTAATTAAAGCAATTTTACTAGTTGAAGTACAAAATAGAGTAAGCATTGTGATTAATTGGTTTTAAAAGCAAAGCTCTTAAATTACCAGATGGAGAAAGCATCAATGGCGATGGTTGCATTTTTCATGTATCCAGCCATTAAGACCAGAATGGAATAGTACCACAACTCCAAGCTATTTGACATCAATTTAAAAGGATTAGAATAATACGTGTAAAATAAAGATTTTCCATAACTTTAAGTTTGATTTTTATTTTTATTTTTTTGAAAAAGCTTGAAATTTAAGATTTACCAAATCATGACTCCGGAGGATATTGAGAGCTTTACAACAGGCAATAGATCAAAGAAAGCAGCTTTAGAGAATCCTTTCCACGTATTAGGGCACCAACCTCCAAACACATACACCAACTGTCCAAAAACCATTGTCCAACCCGATATATTCATTGCAGCCATTGCTCCATTAACTCCCCAGTTAAATTTGTCCACAAACAACCATGACAAAAATATATGAAACACGAACGAAGCAGTCGATAGCCACCCCACGATCAAATTTTTAAGTTGTGCTTGTAAGAACATTGATATAGTCATGGACACCACAAAATTATAGATCATTGGAATAAACCAAATAGAGATTGACCTGGCTGCAACTGCAATTTCCTCCTCCTGGCCAAGAAGTCGGAGGATTGGGGTTGCGAAAATGAAGAGAGGTGCCAATATTGTTGCTGTAATGCCATCAACAATCCATGATCGTTGCAGGTAAATTCCCATCATGTGGTGATGCCCTGCCCCAAATGCTTGCCCACATAAAGTTTCGGTTGCACTCGACATGCCAATCTTCCATTCATCGACAAGCCCGTATTAACCATTTTATTAAGGATTTAGAAACGAGTATAAACATAAAGAGAATTAAGAAAAAATAAATTAATAATGTTTGTTTTGGTGAATGTCTATGATTGACCTCCCTTGATATTAAGTTCAAATGAATTCCGGAGTAATATCAAAAAGGTTCCAACTAAGAGCTCGTTTGGATGAGTTTTTTCCTCCAAGGGAGATGCAATGGGAGTGTCTAACAGCACCAAAAGGCTATTTGGCAATCCAAATATCAGTGCAATTGAGACATTTTAAATCCACTGAAGGTAAAAAATGGACCGAACTCTTATGGGTCTAACGAGAATTTTTTTCTCCCTTTTTCTTTTTTTTTTTTTAATTCTTAGAGCTACAGTAGAAAAAATGTACTTGTCATTTAGCCCTTTTTTATTTTTTATTTAAAATTATTTAAATAACTTAAGTAATTTTTATAATAAACTAATTAATAACTAAAAACTTTTTTTGGCCACAATAAATAAACAACTAAAACATGAATAAATACATAAATAATAAATTCCATAATCATATAAATTATTAATAAATTAAGAAAAATATATCTTTGTAATTAATATGAGTTAAGTAAAATAGATAAAAACATAAATATTAAATAAATATTAGTTATTCTTATATGAGTAAATGTATTATTATCTCTTTAATAAATAATTATTATTTTGATATAAAAATTATCATAAACAAATAAAATATAAAAATAATAAATACTTATAATACTATTTTGTTAAATTTTAATTTGTGTAATTATTTATCATCAATTTTTAAAGGATTTTTTTACATATTATTATCATTTTTTTAATTTTCAATTATTTTTAACAAAACTATTAATTGATATATAAATATTTTAATAATTTCATAATTTCATAAATGTCAAATATACTCAAATTTTCACTATATATAAATTTTCATCTAATGTCATCAATAATTTTTTTTTTTTTACTATATTTCACTTCATTGTTATCACTGCATTTATATTGAAATACATCCCACCACTGATTTTAACATTACCGCTATTATAATTAATCTTACCACCATCAATGTTTTCAATATCATTGAAACGAATCTCACCGTTCAACTAAATGAACCCTATATAATTTAATGAGACCATAAGACACAAAAATATGAATTAAAGTTAATAATAATTTGATTAAGTTTCAAATTGCATCTCAGAATCTTGAATGTTTCAACAGCAATGTATAATTTATTTGCAAACAAATTTTATAAAGACCCATATCAAATTATTCTTTTTTTTTCATTAAAGGTTGCAAGGAGAATATAATGAATTACAAGTACTGAAATTTGAATTCTAAACCTATTAAGTATCCCATGAATCAACAAAACTAAACTCAGGTTGAAATTATTTATTTTCAAGTGAAAATAACTCAAGAAAGAAACAAAAGCTAAACATAACAGGTGAGAAAAAGATAATAATAGAAAGAAAAAAAAATATCTTACCAGTATCCCATACATGAATCTGACAAGAATGCTTTGAACGAGTGCATATGTGGCAAGCTCTACCTCACTAATGTGACCAAGAAATGACTGTGTCACAACCATCATTCCAAATGAAGTTACCCTTGACAATATGGAAGGGAATGCGATCCTCCATATTGCCTTTGATTCAATCCAAACTCTTGTTTTCAGATCTTCTTCTTTTTGTGCAAGAAACCTCTCCTCCACCTGGTTGTCATCCATAACCCTTCTGCAAAATGACATAACGTTGAAAACAAGGCAATTCATACATTCAGGCTAGAGTTTAAAATTCTTTATGAATTATGAGTATGCATCTGCACCTATTTTTGTATGAATACTATGTACTTAATTTTGTTAAAGATATAAATAGTTCAAGCCCTCAGATATTACCAAGGGAAAGTAATGAGAAACATTCATATTGCATTAATGAACTAGTTTTGAGAACAAGTAAGATTAAAATATATATATATAACTATATATCATGAAAAATTATGTCAATTTCAGTATATATATGGCATTGCTTGCCTGATTTCTCTTGTGAAAGGAATGGGGATGTCCCAGTTGTTTGCATTAACTGTTATAACCGCTTTGAGGGAGTCAGAAAATGCTTTGATGGCAATCAAAATGGGCCATAATTAAACTGTCTTTCAACTCTTTCAATGAAAATGTTTAGTGAATTTTTTACTGGTATGGGTTGCTAGCTTCACCTTCTAATAAATAGAGTCTGGTATGGCACTATAAGACAATTAATGATTAGCAACTGGTTAGTGAGGGTTGACTGGTAGATTTTCACTCTTTCATTTGAGGACGGCAAGCAAAGAAAATTATTCGCATAGAATTCGAAGTTGACTTTGCTTCTTTGGCCTGATTTAGATTAATATTTCTTTTGATATTATAACTTATATGAACTTGGAATTAATTATGATAACAAGTTTTTACCTCCGTAATTTTTTATTGATAAGACAAGAAAAAAAAAAGGTGGAACAAAACGAAACTAACTATTAAAGTGAAGATAAGAATAAGAACAAGAACATGAAAAGGGAAATGTGACAATATATTCTTATTCTACCAACAACGACCGTCTATCAGGTTCTTATTACATGTCGGGTCGAGACGATATAAATAATTAAAAAACATAGTAATCAAATTATGTGTTAATGTTGGACTATTAGGTGTAAGAACATAAATAATTGAACTTCAACTTCAAGTCATGACCTCATGCATGACGGAAGTGTGCAAACAAACTGTCACCCCGTTAGTCTTAATGGTACGTTGTACTGGTAAGTTTGAATGAAACAGTCTTTGATTTCAGTATTTTCATAGGGTGCATGTGAACGAATGATTAAATTGATTTTGATGAGATTAAAAACAATAATGAAGAGAAAATTGATTATTATAATAATTAATGAAATTAAAATCAATAATTGAATATGTATTTAGGTGTAAAAACAGCAATAGTGATAAAATAAATTATTATAAAGAGATAAATTAACTATTAAGGATTTAAATTAAAAGATTTATATAATTAAAATTTTAAATTATTTAACATTTATAAAATTTATTTATTATATAAAATTGCTAATAAATAATAAATTTTGTTAATAAGTAATAAATTTTATTTATCATATTAAATTAACAAAAAATATTTCAAGATTTTTAAATAAAAAATAAATCATAAGAATATATTTTCGAGATAACAATATAATTTAAAAGATAAAATTAAAAAAGAAAAAGAAATCAGTGATCTATCATCAACTGTAGAAAAAATGCCAGTCACATTTTATCGACCACACCATCGAATCATTTGAAACAAAAAAAAAAAAAAATTCAGTGAGCACAAATTCTCTTGACAACTGACTTTTTGAAAAATTCTAGTGATACAGAGGCATGATGAGAAAAACAGTAAAGACAATTAATGTCGATTGGTTCTATCATAGATTTTAGTGAATGAGAAGGGCCAAGTTTTGTTCTCATTCAAAAAGTTCAAAGCTAGAAAATGAATCATCTAATCTCATGACATTTATATGGCAATATACATGATTCTACATCTTTTCAAGCTATGGTAATTGGCAACCTTTCTATGAATCCAATTTCAATTCCATCAGGCAACAGCTTACTCTTTTTTCAACAATGTCAAACGTTGAAAATGAAACTCAACCACCATTACAGATAAACAAGTTCATCACTTTTAGTACTTCAGCTCATGTACCAGGAAAATCCCTTGTTTCATTTTGTCCCACCATCCAAAAGCAAGCAACAGACAGATTGAATTCATTCTTCCTAAAAGGTTATAAATATAAAAAGCTTCCAACTCATAGGATTCAATGTCATTCTTGATAGTTGATACTATAAATATATCCAAGGTAATAAACAAAAACCAAAGATTTATTCTTGACATTAAAATTTAATGAGAAGAAATCGTACTAGTACTATAAACAGCTATTCTTGTGGAAGGTATATTCATGTTGAATTTACATGGAAATACTTGTGATTAAATGATCATGTTCCTATAAATATTTGTTTAGAATAAAGTAACAGAATAAAGTAACATAGAGAGGAAAACTTACTGGAGTACTCAAACAGGTAGTTTAAGGGCAGAAGGTGTTATTAATTGCTGTAGCCAGGAATTCCACACTGCATAAATGAAAAAGGAAGAGAGTTGATGGACAAAGAGAAAGAAGAAAAAGCATCAGATGAGCTTTTAACGTCGTTGGGAAATTGTCGTGTGGGGTTCAGCCCAAAATGTTGACTAGAATCAGCAATGGCCATCCAACTACCAAAACCCATTGGTCATTCGGTCAATGAAGAAATGAAGAAACAAAGAAACAAAGAAACATAAAATGAAAAGCCACCGAAAAGAAGAATGAAGATGAAAAGGCAATGCAAGAGGCGTCCAAAAGGTTAAAGAGAAAGAGTTTTTTCATTAACCTTAGGGAAGGGACAGCAATGCATGCATGATTAAACCATAACTGGATTGAAGCAAGACAGGTTCACTTCCTTGGGGTCAATGCAAATTTTCGAGTAGGTAACGGCAAAGCAAATTTTAAAGGAGAAATTAAGAAGAAAATGGTGCAGTCAAGAGGGATTTTATTTGAGAACATATGTCTATGGGGCGTATAAATGAGTATGCATGATTAGACTATAATCTTATTTTCTAAAAGGGTTCTTTTCCCTATTTAAAATGTAGTAGGTTTTTTATTATTTTATTATTCAAAGACTATTAAAGCACTTTGATTAAATTTAGGATTAATATTTGTTTAAATTATTTTTTAATTAATTGTTATATTTTTTATCCAATTTTTATATATTTTCATATTTAATTTAAAATTATTTAAATTTTAATTATAAATTTTTTCAAGATAAATTAACTATTTTTATATAAAACACTAGTCATCTCTTCATTTTCTTTTTTTTTTTTCCGGATAAACACTAGATATCTCTTCATTTTCTTCATTTTCATATTTCTGACAAATATCATTTCTAAAATAATGCAAATTCAAAAAGTTAATGACAATTCCTGTGTTTCACTTTATTTTGTTTAGAATAAATACTGATTCCTAAAAAAAATACTGATTCAACTAAGTTAGGCACTACTTTTAGTAATTAGATAGCTTAATATTCTAGCTTTAAATGAGTTAAAATTTAATATATGAAGAATCATCAAAATAATGATTCATCTTTTTTTTTATGTGATTCATTTTCAAAACTTATTCTAATTATAATAATTTAAATTATATATAAATTAATATTTTTTTTAAAAAAAAATATATTAATGAGTTGATATTATTTAATTTAATTTATTAATAAAATAATATATTTTATTAATTGATATTATATAAAATTTATATAATGATGATGCATCATATATAAACCCATAAAATAAATCACAGTTTCAAAATAAAAAGAGAATGCAATGCTTTTAGTGCTGATATTTAATGCAAATGTCACATTGATAGCATGAATTAACTAATGAAATTAAGTGGGGTTCAATACCTCAAACCTTCATAATTATATAAATCTCCTTAGATGGGTAAGCCAACTCAAACGGCAAAAGACATGCTTGAGCTTCATGAAAACTACAACTAAGTTTAGCACTTTACATGAAGCTAAAAATCAACTTGTTTACTCTTCACTTTCAAAAGCCTTATCATCTGCATCAAACTCTAAACAACTGCACAAAATCCATTCATTAATTATAACTCTAGGACTTGAAAAATCTATCTTCTTCTCTGGTAAACTCATAAGCAAATATGCTCAGTTAAAGGACCCAACTTCTTCACTCTCAGTTTTCCACCAAGTTTCACCTACATCAAATGTTTTCCAATGGAATTCAATCATTAGAGCTCTTACTCACAATGGGTTGTTCTCTAAAGCCCTTTTTTTTAATAGCAAAATGCAAAAGATGGATGTTTTACCTGATAAATATACTTTTCCTTTGGTTGCCAACTCATGTGCGGCTTTGCTTGATATTGAGATGGGAAAAGTTGTTCATCAGAATGTTTTGGAGATGGGTTTAGGCTCAGATTTGTATATTGGGAATGCGTTGGTGGATATGTATGCGAGATTTGGTTTTTTGGCTGAAGCTTTAAAGGTGTTTGATGGAATGTCTGAAAGGGATGTTGTGTCTTGGAATAGTTTGATTTCGGGATACAGTGCAAATGGATATTGGGAAGAAGCATTGGAAGTTTATAATATGGCAAGAATGGCGGGAATTATGCCAGATTCTTTTACTGTTTCGAGTGTTTTGCCTGCATGTGGAGGTTTGATGCATGTTAAAGAAGGTGAGATAGTTCATTGTTTGGTTGAGAAAATTGGGCTTCACAGCGATGTAGTTGTAAGTAATGGACTTCTTTCTATGTACTTCAAGTTTAATAGGCTTGTAGATGCACGGAGGATATTTGATGAGATGATGGTTAGAGATTCTGTTAGTTGGAACACGTTGATATGCGGGTATTCTCAGATGGAGTTATTTAAAGAGTCCACGGAGTGCTTTATGCTGATGTTGAATAGTTTTAAGCCTGATTTACTGACTATTACTTCAGTTCTTCGTGCTTGTGGTCATTTACGTGACTTGGAATTTGGAAAATTCGTTCATGATTACATGAAGAAAAGTGGGTATCAGTGTGATGTTACTGCTGACAATATTCTTATTGATATGTATGCGAAATGTGGTGACTTGCTAGCTTCGTGGGAAGTATTTGACAGGATGATATGCAAGGATTCTGTCTCGTGGAACTCAATGATTAATTGTTATATTCAATATGGTAATTATGATGAAGCATTGAAACTTTCTAAGATTATGAAGGTTGACTTGAAAGTTGATTCTATCACTTATGTGATGCTCCTCTCTGTTTCTACTCAGTTAGCAGACAAGGAGCTGGGGAAAGAGTTTCACTGTGATGTAATTAAATTTGGATTTGATTCAGATCTCATTGTCAATAACTCTATGGCTGATATGTATGCGAAATGTGGGCAAATAAATGACTCACTGAAAATATTTGAAAACATGAAAACTCATGATAGAGTGACATGGAATACAATCATAACAGCATGTGTTCAATCTGGGGATTTCACTTTAGGTTTGAGAATGATTAATCAAATGAGGACTGAGGGAGTGATGCCTGATGTAGCCACTGTCTTAGGCATCTTGCCTATGTGTTCCTTTTTTGCTGCCAAACGGCAAGGGAAAGAGATCCATGGCTGTATTTTCAGATTTGGATTTGAATCAGACATTCCAATTGGGAATGCACTAATTGAAATGTACTCTAAATGTGGTAATTTAAAAAATTCTTGGCAAGTATTTGACCGTATGAAAGTGAGAGATGTGGTGACATGGACTGCTATGATTTCTGCCTATGGAATGTATGGAGAAGGCAAGAAAGCAGTGGGAGCTTTTGAAGATATGAAAGCTACTGGTGTTATTCCTGACCATGTTGCCTTTGTTGCCATCATCTATGCTTGTAGCCATTCAGGTTTGGTAGAAGAAGGTTTGGCTTGTTTCGACCAGATGCAGAAAGATTACAACTTGGAGCCTAGAATAGAACATTATGCTTGTGTAGTTGATCTTCTTTCCCGTTCTGGATTGCTATCTAAAGCAGAGGAGTTTATCTATTCAATGCCACTGAAGCCAAATGCAAGTATATGGGGATCTCTACTTAGTGCTTGTCGATCAAGTGGAAACATAGAGGTTGCAGAACGCGTATCTGAGCGGATCCTTGAATTAAAGTCAAATGATACTGGGTATTATGTTTTAGTATCAAATGTGTATGCCATTTTAGGGAAGTGGGATCAAGTGAGAATGATACGAAAATCCATTAAGGCTAGAGGGCTCAAAAAAGATCCTGCATGTAGCTGGATAGAAATTAAAAGAAGGTTGTATGTGTTTGGAACTGGGGATAAGTTCTTTGAGCAGTTTGAGGAGGTTAATAAGTTATTAGGGATAATTTCTGGTTTGATGGCTAAGGAAGGTTATGTTGCTGATCTGAGATGTGTTTTGCATGATGTTGAAGAAGATGAGAAAAGAGACCTGCTTTGTGGGCACAGTGAAAGGCTTGCCATAGCATTTGGATTATTAAACACAAAGCCCGGGACTCCATTGCAGATTATGAAAAACCTTCGTGTTTGTGGGGATTGTCACACTGTAACCAAGTATATATCAATGATTATGCAAAGAGAAATACTAGTAAGAGATGCCAATCGCTTTCATGTCTTCAAGGATGGAACCTGTAGTTGTGGAGATCATTGGTGATGGATCTCTTGATCATATTTTTTAACAAGGAAAGAGAACCACCCTACCTTCTTCATCAAAATGAAAAATGAAAAAGAACAGAGATTCCTTCTTCTAATGTAGCTGCTAAATACAGGGCAAATACTGGCTTACATGTTGAGGCATTAGAATTTAGAATTTCAATAATTTATTTTTCCCTGGATGATTTTATTGTGCTTCCGGGAGAATTTTAAACCATAAACAAATAACTATTATATCCTTTCTCATTTTTGTTTTATCATTAGCTTAAATCTTTATTCTGAAAACTTTTTTTCTTGTTCGGTTAAATTATTCCGTTCTCATTTTCCATGATCATTAGAGGTCTTCCATAAACTGATTTGTGTTCGGTCAATTACTACATCATTAGCTTAATTAGTGTTCCATGAGCTGTAAGTTAAATTTGGAAAATTAGAATCAGTCAATTTTGTATTTTGTCGTTTAATTAAGTTTATGGCAATGTTATGAACCTTGTTTGAGTACTCAATCAAACGCCATTATTACCTTCTGCTATTTATATGATTTTCTTGTATTAATAAGAAAACCAAGTGGAAAAATCAGTGCGAAGATGTCATCCAATCATCTTATTAGGGATCAGATAATAGTAAATATAATAGATAATTGAGAAGCATGTGGATATACTTTTTTTCTCCTTTTCCTTTTAAGTGAATTTTTTCTGCACAGTAGTTGGCTACTTTTAGTAGTTCCAGTTCTCAGCCCTGTATCAGACTGAAAACATTTTGAAGCCATGGATTTGAATAATTTCTTCTCAAGTCATTCAACTTGTGGAAATTCTGATGTAGGCTGTCTATATACTTCTTTTTTCTTATATGCAGAGTTTTCCAAGTGCTGAATTGAAAGGAAAACGCATATAAATTGGGTATATGTTCTGACAACTAAGTTCAAATTTCAATTTATCAGGTTACTGTTGTCCTTTTTTTTCTTATTATACAAGATTTATTAACTCTTTCAAGGATAAGATTACATTGTTATTATCATTGTGTATCACAAAAGACAATGAGAGTATAACCGGTCATGGAAAAGCTTGATGCTTCTGCAAACAATGATTATAATCTGTTTCTTTCTAGCTGGCATTTATTTATCACGCACAAAACACATTGTCAATAGGTATCTAGACTTATCTGGTTGTAAATATTCGCCTTATTGCTGGCTTGGACCTGCTATGCTTGATGAATATTTCGCCGTGCTTATGGAGGCATAAAAAATAGGGAAAGAGCGATTGCAAATTAATGGCAGATTTGGTTTTGAGAGTGGAACCTGCATCTATTTATTGTATTATTATTCTTTTCCGCTTACAATCCATTTTGTTACTCTGTATCTTTGCAGTCTTAGTCTAGGAGCTAGATACCATGGACAAAGCGAAAATCTCAGCAACAAGTCTCGTATAATTCGTAAGGCAATCTGTCTCCACTATTACAATATCTGTTTCTTGACAGATCACAGGGAAAATCCCCCATTTATGTTAATTGTCTAGAGAAACTGTTTCAAGTTATTGCTAAGCTTATGATGCCTAAACCATACATCCATGGAAAACCTCACAACAGGTCATTTTGTAGGATGGTATTTCTCATAAAGTGCTTGGTACTTGATGATCATCTTGTCATGAGGTGGCCAATTATCTTTAATTATTGGGAGTTCTGAAAACTTTTGCATCCAGGCCGATAACAATGGATATCTCTCATCAACTAATTTCAAGCCAGTTAGCTCTTCAAAAACATAGATCAAGTTAGCAAGACTACCAAAAGCAAGATCAGCCAGTCCTATCTTCTCTCCACCAAAGAATTTCTTTCCCTTCAGCTCTTCTTCTACAAATTTCAAGTTCTCCATTATTGCAACAAAAGCGTCCTCTTGCTCTTTTCCTTCTCTGGAGAAAGCATCCCATATTGATGGTATAAGCTGCATTAAGAAGAAACAGATGTTTCTTATGTTTTATCGGTGGAAAAAAAAAACAGTCCTTACTGAACCTGATAGTGTGAAACTTTACCTTTTCATCGTTAAATTTGCCCCAAAAGCGTGCCCTGGCTTTCTCAAAAGGATCTTCGGGCAAAATCGGATTCTGCTTCCATGTCTCATCTATATATTCAAGAATGACAAGTGACTCTGAGATTGGTTTTCCATTGTGTACAAGCACTGGAACTTTCTTGTGAACAGGATTAAACCGAAGAAGCAAAGCACTCTTGTTGGATAGATCTTCATCTATTGCCTTATATTGTATACCCTTGAGCTTCAACGCCCAAACAACCCTTAAACCATAAGGGGTTGACCATGTCTTGAAAAGCTTCACTTCTTCGGACATATTGTTTGCTATGTCATCCTTCATAGTTTAACATGATATATATACTAGTTAGCTTTTGCTTTTTCCTTTTTACTATTTTTCTTTTTGTTACTTTGTATTATATCTATAACAGGAGGCATAGAGTTCGAATCTTAAAAACTTAAAGAGGTGAGTTTTACGAGACACAAATTATTTTCCATTTTATAATCCAATATGTGAAAGAAAAAATTGTATTACAGCCCCATCTCGTTGAACATAAGAAATTTCCTTTGGCAAAGTTTGGATTGATATTATCGTTCCTAAGCGGAAACATCGAACATATTTAAAATTTAAATTTTAATTTAGTAAATTTTTATATCTTTAAATTACAATTAAAAGAAAACCAAACTTAGATTTATCATTACACTTTGCAACCCATGAATGGGTATTTAAGTTTGATAACCTCTATGTCCTTATCTTCATATCAAAAGAATATTATCATCATATAATTAAAAAAAAAATCAAAATTTGAAAACATTAATGGCAAGATATAAATTTATAATTTGTGAATTTTTGCGTTTGAAACAACGGGGGAAGAAGGCCAGCTGCCGGCCAAACAACTTCTAATCGATCAATTCAAGGCGAACTTTCTTCCTTGTACTAATTAATGTGGTACAACAAACAAAATGTCAGAATAGTTATCATAGATATATATAGACTAATTTTATCAATTTCATCGGAAGCATATCATTTGTTATTATTATTGCATTAAATTAATTAATTATAATTAAAAATTATATAAAATTAATTAAAATATCATATAAATTTCACACTTATAAATAATAAACTTTTATATAATTTTTTGTTGTGCTGAATTAATTACAAAATTATTTTAAAAAATTATAAATGAAATACATTCTACTTTATTTGTCCGCAATATAAAAAAAGTTGTTTTTGATATAATATAAAGTTTTTTTTGTTTGTTTAATTTTTCTATATTCAGAAGATTTGAATTAAGGAGATGGGTTCATCAATCCGTTATAATTTTAAAGAATTGATCAAATGACTAATGTGATATTTTTACCAATTTTTCAATCAAAATTTAATAATAAAACATATCTTTTGATACGGTAAAAACTCTCTAATTAAATTCTCAAATAAACCTTTAATCTATTCTACATTTTTTTTACATTAATTTAATTATAAGATTTTTTTCGATCATTAAAATTAAGAGTTTAATATTTTATCATAGATCACCAATTGTTGATCATATTATAATTTTCATTAAAAAAAAAGTGAATTTAATAAAAATATATTTTATTGGATGTAGATATATGACTTTATCATCCAAACTTGAGTAGATTTAATTATATGATGCCAACTTTTCAAAAAAAATTAATGGCAAAATTTTTGTCATCATGAAATAATCATGCATGATTATTCATATTCCTTAATTAATTTACAAATAAATTAGTCTTCTTAATTTAGATGGGATTCTAAGACTTTTTTTTTTTCAAAAATTGAGAACAAAATTCATTAAAACATAAAATCCCCATAAAATTTCAAGGAATTGTCAATAATTTTTTTCCTTTTTTTAAAGCGAAAAAAAAAAATTCCATAAATGAACTTCTTTCTTCCGCCAATTCATTAATACTCTAATTAATCAAATTATCCAAATTAATGAATAATTTTTCACGAAATATATTAGAAAACTTTGCATTAAAACAAGCAAAGAGGATTTCCTTTTCTATTTACTATCTTTTATATATTAATGTTTTCCTTTTACTAGGAGGATTAATATATATGAAAACGAATATATTTCCTTTTCTTTTTTTTCAGTCTTGGCAATCCCCGAAGTTAGTGCACAAAAAATATGTGAAGAGAGGCTATACCAATCTGGATGTAAGGCAGACGATTGTCAACAAAAGTGTTTACAAAGACATCAAGTTGCAGGATCAGGAATCAGGATGACAATGTCTTCCAAATTCTCCTTCTCAAACTGATTTTTCTTGTTTTTTATCTGGAGTTGTGCTTCATTTATCTGTCAATTGATGTACTTTCCTTAAAGAAAGGCAAATTCAATAAAAGAACAAATAATTGGATTACAATTATAGCTTTCTTTCTTTCTTTTTCTCTTTTCAACAATTAATTATAGGTATCTGCTGATTCCACCATGAAAATAAATTTTTTAAATCAAGTTCTAAAATATTATTATATTAAATTTAAGATTGTATCATACACGGATGATAATTTAAATTTATAATAATCTTTTGAAAGTATATAAAAATAATATCTTAATCTAATACCAAACTTTTAAAATGATTTAATTTGTTGAACTCTAAATTCTCCCATAAACACTTCTTTAGCGTGAGAAGTTATCATTTCAAATATAATTTAAAGACAACTTGTAGCAATAAATCACAACTTATATATAAAGGAACTTCATTCATTAAGAAAATGGATTACAATCACAATCATATATGGGCATTCCATGTAAACCATGATTAGCTGAGTCAATGAGCCGCTCCATTAATTCCTTTTCATTTTGTATGGGCAATCATGCAGATATTCCCCTAGTAAATTGGTAGTTTTTTTTTTTTTTTTAAGTTGTAGTTTTTCCTATAGTGAATAATTTTTTTTTATTTTATTTGGTTTTTATCAATTCATCTTATCGGGTTAGTGTCATGTAGTTGATGACATCAAATTTGGTAAAAAACTTTAATACTAGTAATTTTATAATTAGGTACACCCATTGTATTAGTGACAAAAAATGATGTTTAAAAAATTGTTATTTTTTGAAAATGAAAAGATATATGTATCTTTAATTTTTTATTTTATAATAATTTTATTTTTTTTATGATTATCATTCAATAATTGAATGGTGTAAAAAAAATTTAAAATTATTATAAAATTTTTAATTTTTAATATAATCTACTTAAAACTTACGAAATATAGAATTTAATTTATTATTATTGTTATATTTTTATTATTGTTGCATCAAATTGATGTCACTTGATTTGTGACATCAAATTTAATAAGACATTTTTTTTAAGTCCTTAATTCACTTCTGACCTTACCTCATGAGACGTAGTTGGGAATAGCATTATACCTCGAATTGGGCGATTCTTCGACTGCCACAAATATCATGTCGTTGAATTAAAGGTTCGTTTATATAAAATATTTTATAAATAGGTAGAAGGATAAATATTAATAATAAAATATTTGATTAAATTTAATGTCATAAGTCAAGTGATATTAATTATTAAAATAATTATAAAATAGGTAAAATTAATGCAAAAATATAAGCTTAAGGATGCATGATCTTTTCAATTTCAAAAAGTGACTTTCAACTTTTAAAAAAAAACCTTTAATTTTATATTAAAACAAATTATCTTTTAAAATAAATTTTAAAAAATATTTTAAAGTATCAATTTCTTAATTACCCACACACAAAAATTATATTTTAAACATAATTTTTTCAGTCATCCATTTATGGGTGGGCGTGCCCAATTCTAGCTGTAAAAGAAAAAAGTCACGATATTGTTAATGAAGTACAACAATATTTATCGTGATATATTGCTATCGTCCATTTTCTACGTGCCACGTCACTCCTACAAAAATCTTGCCACTGAAACGACTCCGTATCGAGTATCCTCTCTCTCTGTCTCGCTGCTTTCGTCGTTTGTCCACCATCAATTTTAAATCTGCCTTATCTTTCTTTCATCGGCAAAGTAAAAAAATCGGAGAATCTCTAAAGTTACGTCGTTTCTGAAGTTATGGGACAAGTCTTAGACAAATTTCACGGTAGGGTTTTTAATTTTTCTTTATCTGGAAATTTAATAAGACAAAAGTTTCTGATCCTTGAAACCCAGAAGTTGATTTTTCATGTTTTTTTTTTTTTTAATCATGAGAAATATAAAGGGTTTTTGTAGAAATCTTTCTTCCATAGAAAAAGTGTTCCTTTTTAGTATGTTACCCTTTTCAAACTATGTAGAAAGGAAAAGAAAAGGTCTTGCATTTTGTTATTAATAAAAAGTTGAATTTCTAATTTCTAATTTTTTTTTTAAGTGAGGACCGAACTAATTAGCTTTGATCATCTTTTTGAAGAAATAGGTATTTAGAATAGATGAACTTGTTGACTTGAATTGGTTTTGCTGTAGTAGGTAACTAATTAGTTTGAATAAGTGTGTTTTAATGGCTTCTTCTTTTCCTTGTTATATGGGGTAAAATCTATGTGTGTAGCGGGATGTGGGTTAAACACAATGTGGCCAAAGAGTTCCGGGGTTGAATAATTTATTGTTATAGGGACCGTGGTGGTTTACTGGTTTTATATTCTCTAATAACTATACCTTTTGAATGGCCAAAAAAAATCTATACCTTTTTATTACTCTTTGATTTTATGAGAATAGAATAAGTGAGCTTGCTTTATTTGTAATGATATCAGTGTGTATTTGATAGTTTAACACTTTTGCGCAGGGAAGGAATGGAGAAAGAAACAGATTAGGAAAATAAGTGACAAGGTTTATGAGCGTATCAAAAATCAATCAGGAACAGCTACTTTATCGTTCGAAGATCTATATATTGCTGTCCTACTTGTGTACAAGTGAGGAATTTGCTTAAACGTATTATCAATAACTGATTAACTTCATATTCTTTAATCATGCAATGGAAGATAGTTAACCTTATTGGTGTTAAATGATCTTTGATTATTCCTTCTGTAGTGATATTAATAAGCGTTTGCCTGGGCCCCACTTTGACCCACCCTCTAAAGAGCAAGTCAGATCAATGATGCAGGTAACCCCAAAATTTAATGCAATTATGGAAAAGGCTGCATTTGAGAATTTACTTTACTGCAATGAAAATGCTATGGATATATAGTATGTCCCTTATAAACCATATGTAAAGCTAATGCAGTGACAAGTTAAATTGGACTCAAGAATACTGTATTTATTTTCATTACTTAGGAGTGTCAGAATCTTGGAAAGTTTTGGGACATATTTACCTCTCTGGACTTTTTACTATTGTGTTGAGTCTGATTACCTATGAGCGTCAGCAGCTGGAAAGTTATGGGACATATTTACTTCCCTTTTAACCATAATTTTCTCTATAATTTGTATAATTTCTTTTGTCTAAAAAATTTCTTGGAAGAACATAATATAGTAATGGTTAAAGACATAAAGCAGTTAATTTGTTTCCTATGCAGGAGTGTGACTTCAACCTTGATGGAGAAATTGACCGTGAAGAATTTGTGAAATTCATTCAGCAGCTCACGACTGACACATTTATTGTTGTTAGTCAGGGACTGATTATCACCTTAGTTGTAGCTCCAACTGTTGCTATGGCAACAAAGAAGGCTACTGAGGGCGTTCCTGGTGTTGGGAAAGTGGTGCAAAAGTTACCCAATTCTATTTATGCATCCCTTGTGACCCTCGCAATTGTTTGGTTCCAAACTTCACGCCAAGAGACTGAGTAGAGCATTCTGTCTTTTCTGTCAAATTACGACTACTGTAAATGAGATAGATTATTGCTCAGTTTGTATAGAACGATGTCTTGCAAGTTACCGAATAATCAGGAGTACAACATTTCTGAAACTTCATTGTAGAAGGATTATTAATTTGTGATAATGCATATGAAGGTTGTTACTTCGGTGTAGAATGATTCTCTCTTCTGTCTTGTCCATTACTTTCCCCTTTTCTTCTCTTTTATACATATACGTTCATTTCTTTTTTGTGTATCTTCTTTTTGCTTGTGGAGTACAACATTGTGAAACATGATGAGTTAAAAACAATTTAGCTTCAAAACTCGACTGTGTCAGTGTGAGTATATATATAGGATCTCATTTTCAACCATTCTTTTTGCAACTTTTATCTACAGGGTAATGAGATTGCAGAAAATTTTGATAAGAGCAGAAAAACTTGTCTTGCTGTGTGAGAGAATTAGCGAAAAAGCCTCTGTCAGACTGTCACTGACATTCTTCTTATTATATAGCCACCATTAAAACAAGTAGAGTAGTATCTTACAATCTATTTAGTATATATCTGTTAAAATACCATATTGAATCCTGTATCAATTAGCATCCTATAATCCTAGTAGGCAGCCGGCTTGAACTGCTTTGAGACTGAAACTCACTGGATGGACACCAGTCCAATGAAGAAGAGAAAATCTTTGTGGCAGCGATTAAAACTTCAGCCATGGAAGGACGAGCATTGAGATCATAAGCAACACAGTTTCTAGCCAGTTGGGCCATGGAGAAAGCCAAATGCAGGGGATATTCCGCCCCGAGAGCATGATCAATGAAGTTTTGAAGCTTTTCTCTCAGGTCAACCCCTTCTAGCACCCCTTTAATAGATGCTGATAGCAATTCCTCTCCTTCAGCATTCTTTTCAGCAGCTTTCCTTCCTGATAAAAGCTCCAACAGGACAACCCCGAATGCAAAAACATCAAGTTTAGGCGTGATCACCCCACTCTCAATGTACTCTGGAGCCATATAACCAAGTGTCCCAACCACATGTCTTGTCAATTGCAGATCGCCATCATTTTCCACTGTTCTTGCAAACCCAATGTTGGCAAGCTTGGCTCTGAAGTTGCCATCCAGGAGTATGTTACTGGTGTTCAAGTTCTTGTGCATATATGGAGGATTCATATAGTTATGGAGGTAATTGAGTGCATCTGCAACATCGTATGCAATCTGAACTCTTTGCTTCCAAGAAAGAGTAAATGAAGTTTGGCCCTTGCTAGATTGAAGCAAATCATCTAGAGAACCTTTCTCTACATGCTCATAGACAAGATAAGTGTTGCCTCCGTGTACACAGAAACCCGAAAGCCTGATGATGTTGTTGTGATTGATCTTCTTCAATAAATTCATCGCTGCCGAAACATCCCCTTTCATCACCTTAATTGCAGCATAATCACCTTGGAATTGGCCCCGGTAAACAGAACCTTTGATTATGTTAGACTCACTGAAATTTCCAGTGGCAGCTTCCAAGTCCTTGAACTTGTAGGAGGTTAAGGATTCAACTGCATACCTACCCTCGTGGATAGATACAAACCAGGAATCGTCAGAATAGTCTATAGAGTCCGAGAGTGGTTTTGGTTCAGATGGTGTTGCTGCCTCTTGCTCAGCCTTTTGAGAAGGGCGTCTGTAGAAGAAAAACAAAAGCCCGGAGAGGCCAAACAGGAGAATCAAACCAGCTGCAATGCCAATACCTACAAACACCCACTTGTAGGAAGATTTGGATTTTCTAATAGGAGCACTAGTTATGTGAGAAGGTGATGGCGGAGACGGGGAAGCTTGGGGTGCTAAAATCATGGTGGGCTCTGCGGCAAGTGGAACCAAAACGGGAGTGAATGGAAAAATCAAATCCTCTGTGAGCTTGTTGGCATCCAATACGCTTTGCTCATCAACACCAAAAGATTCAGCAATTGAAGAAATGAAATCCCCCCAGTAGGCTATGTAGGTGAGCAAGAACTTGGCACCAGCTTTGGTTTGGTCTAGTGTTGGACAAGCACATCTAAGGGGAACTAGGAGTTTATCACACACTTTCAGATCCAAGATACCTATGGAGTTTTGAGCCTTCATAGCCTGGCAAGTCGTGAGACCCTGATACGTATCATTGGCAATGGTGAAATAAGTCTCAGTGTCGTCCTTGATGGTGTAGGTAATGTTGTGTTGGTAGTAGCTGCCAGCACAGGAGCAATTAAGTGGAACAAAGACCAGGGAATTAGCAGGAACTGATGATACATCGGACGAGAGGTTGTTGAGTCTAAGGGAGGAAATGAGATCAGGTTGAGCTCCCAGGAGATAGGCTATTGTGACGGCTGAAGTGTGGGGAGCCTCTGCCCGGAAGGTGATATAGGATTTGCATGATTTTTGCACGCCATTGCATAAAAAGCCTCTGGTGACATTGTTGTCCTTGCTTTTGTCAGCGCACTCCAACTGATCATTATTCAGATAAGCCTGTTGTCCTTCTGTGCTGCCAGAATGCAACAACAACAACAATGCAAGAACATAAAATTTTAGCCAAAGCTTCAGGTTCTTCTCCATGGCAATCTCAATTAGTATTTTTTTTTTGTATTCAGATCAGAAATGGAGAAACAGGTGAAGAACTTCGAAAGGAGTGCCTATTTTATGCTACTGATACCCGGAACTGTAGTAATCTGTAATCTCATTGTTCTTATTGCGTATTTGCTACTGCACATTCAGTAGAAGACCGAGAATAATAAGTTTATGATGGAAGACCAGTAAATTTCTTGGTCTTTTCTCAGTCTCTTACATGGATTCCGTGGTCAAGACTCAAGAACCAGGACTCAAAGCCTATGAAGAAAAACAGCTTCACTTCTAATTTCAAAGGCTGTTCTGGTAGCATTCTTTAACTGTATGGCAAGCAACAGCACAATTTATGTTACACTAGTATTGAGCCCGATGCTGAGGGTTTAATTTTTTATTAAATAAAATAAATATTTTTAAATTATTAAAAAAATTGAAATGCATTTTAATTTTAATTTTTTATTATTTTGATACAAATTTTTAGTAAAATTAAATTAAAAATGATTTTTAAATCATTTGCTTTTTTGTTGTAAAAATTTATCTAATTAAAAATAATAACAAATAAAGGTGTCACGGGAATGCTTCAATTGATTTTTTTTGTCATAGAATTTATCAAATAAAAAACAAAAACAAAAAAAAAGAAAAAAAAAGACTTATTAAGAGTGCCACATGAACACTTATTGAAATTAGAATATTAATTTTTTAAATTAAATTATCAAATAATAATTTTATTAATATAGATAATAAATATAAAATTAAATTAATAATAAAATATATACTCTTATATATATACACCATAGGGGTAGTTGAAGGTAATGTACCATAAGTCTATTTCTAATCCATTTTTGCTTCTCTAAAAAAATTAATTCGGGTATTGATTTTTTACAAAAACTCTGTATCGAATCAAAATAAATAAAAATCAATCAGATACTAATTGTTTTTTGTTATCTTTATCAACGAGCTCATTTCGCTATAAAATTTATTTATTTAAAAAATAAAAAAACAAAAACAAGAAAATATGAAAGGAAAAACAAATGATCTATGTTGACATTATTTATCTAATTAAAAATAAAAAACGAAAAAAAGGCAAAAAAAATTTTAATCAGTAGTATCAAATGAATCATGCCATTAAATTTTTTAAAAATTTATTATTAAATATAAAGAGTAGAAAAGGAAAAGAATATAAAAAAGGGAAAAAAAGAAAGGTAAAATAAGAAAAATGAGAAGAAAATTTTAAAAAATAGAAACAAAAGGAAAAAAAATGAGCTAAAGAGAGCAAAAAGTGGAGGTCAAAATGTGCAAAATTTATAATATGTATAATAAAATATATATTTTATATATATCTCAAGGTGTATCGTGATAAAAAACTATTAGCATATCACCAAACCGACTTCATTTCTCTTTATAAAAATCCAATATGCCCTAATTTGATCTAGAAAAAAGAATGACACCCCCATTGAATTGGGCTAATCAAAACTCATTAGATACAAATTATTTTTCTATCCCTAAAAATTGACTTCTTTTGTTGTAAAATTTATCTTATAAAAAAACAAAAAGAAAAAACCAAATTAAGATATAATGTAAATACCTCAATTGTTTTTTTTACTAAATTTTTCTAAATTAAAAACTAAAATTTTGAAAAAAAAAAACCAAAAAAAAACCAAAAAAAAAGAAAAAAAACATAAAATACAACATCAACACCTTGAATGAAGCTCAAACAAAAATTAAAATGAGTAAAATTTATAAAATGGATAGATGGATGAATGAATAGATGGATTGCATCTTAATTACATATAAATATAGTATTTTTATTAAATTAAAATTTTAAATAATAACTTTATTAATATAATATATATAAATATAAAATTAAATAAATAATTAAAAATATAATTTTATATATACTTAAGATAAGACAGAACATCATAAACTCATGTTCAACTCAAATTCGATTTTAAAAAGTCTTAAACTCATATTAAATTTTCTAAAATCTCGCGCATATTGGATTGGAACAAATAAAAACCCATGAGATATAGGTTGATTTGTCATTAATACATTTATTAACTTTTTTCTTATAAAATTATTTAATTAAAAAAAGTCAAAAACTTTTTTTAAAATAACAAAAAATAAAGAAAAAAATGAAACTAGACGGGATACCACATGAATTTATTAAATTAAGATATTAAATAATAATTTTATTAATAGAAAAGAAATTCACTTACATTAGTGAAAGTGTTATACATTTTTTTTACTATTTGATAAAAATAGTTAGTATAAGTGTTATGGATTTAATTTTGATCTAAAGGTCAAAAAAAATGCAACACTTACATTAGTGTAAGTGGATGCCTACTCTTATTAATATAATACATATATATAAATATAAAATAATTAAATAATATATATTATATATATCTAGACAAGATGAAATACCTTAAATTAGCATTTGATGGGATTTGGATTTTCGATAAAATCCTAAATTAAAAAAAAAAAGCACATATTGATCCAGATGAATCGAACTCATCGAATATGAGTTTTTTTGTCATCTATACCTCCATTGACTTTTACTAGTAAATAGTATGCGTGATCCCTGAACTTTGGGTCAAATTTTATATTAGTCCATAAACTAAATAAAAACAATGTAAATCAATGTCTAAATGTAAATCAATGTAGTCTATTTGTTTGTTGAACTGTCTAAATTAATGAAAAATTCAACATGACATGACACATACTTTTACAAAATTGTATTACGTGTAAGATTAATATTCTGTCCCTGATTTTAAGCAAAAGAATTCTTGGTCAAAGAAGAAATCAACCAAATGAAGAGACAAACAACAAGCAATCAAAAGCAAAAGCAAACAAGCACACATTAAGCAATACACAGGGGAAGCAATTCGGCAACAGACATTCAAGCAATTCAATAACAAATTCAGGTAACCTCCAAATAGAAAATCCTAAACCCATACTCAAAAATTACTGACTTTTAAGTTTTTTACTCCATACAAATGGTGTTGTTTGGGACTGAAGAGAAAGGTCACAACCATTCAACTCACGTGAAAGGCCCACTATACATTTGCCTTTGATTGTAAGGTTAACGTATTATGCCATGTTAGATTTTCTATCAATTTTAGACGGTACAACAATCAAAAGGACTAAATTGATACACGTTTAGATAGTTGATGACTCAATTAAAATTTTTTAAGATTTATGGGCCAATTTAAAATTTGACTCAAAAATTAAGAACCAAAAGTGTTATTTACTTGACTATTATTGTAAAAAATTATATATCAATTTCTTTTGTTATAATATTTATCCAATTAAAAATAAAAACAAAAATAAAAATAATGAAGGAAAAAATCGAAATAGGGTGCCATATGAACATATCAATGGGTTTTTTCTTTCAAAAAATTGATGTAATAAAAAAAGAAAGGAAGAAAAGCAACTAAAACAAGAAAAAAGAAAAAACGAAAGAAAACAAAATGAAAGAAAAAAAGGAAAAAAATTGAGTTATCACATAACATTAACAACGTTAAGCTATTTTTGCAAAATTTATATCATGAATATTTTAAAAATAAAAACTAAAAGACAAAAACAAAAAGGAAAAGGAAAAGACTAAAAAAATTAACTCTGAATGCCACGTAAACACCTCTATTGGTACTTTTTTTTTTATAAAATTATCTAATTAGGAAAAGAAGAAAAGAAAAATATAAAAAAATTTTAATAATTATATTAAATAGATCTCACAAAAATTAAAAATATTTATTACATATAAAAAAGAGAAAATAAGAAAAGAAAGTAAATAAAAAAGTTAGAAAGAGAAAAGAAAAAAAAAAAAAAACCTTGAAACATGCTATCAAATGAGTCCCAAAAAAATATTTTAAAAATAAAATATTTTTAATAAAAAATAAAATTAAAAAAAAAAGCTTAACATGGGTCACTTAAAAATTAAAATACCAAGATTTATACATAAGAATAATGCCGTATAGTTTTACTCAGTGTGCTTTTTTTTTCCCCAAACTATAAGGTTATCTAGTCAAATCTTAAGAATTCAACTTATCCCTTATTCTATTATACCTAATTCTATATAGATTTGATTTGATAGTTCCTCTGCCAATGTATCTATTTTGTGTCATCTATTTTTTATCAAATATAAAAATTATCATATCATAATTATTATTGATAAATTAAATATAAAATACTTTTTTTATTTTATCAAATCTATATATAATTTTTATTAATATTTTAAATCATATAACTTCGTATTTTTTATATGATTTTTATATTATATTATCTATCATATTTAAAATTATCACGCATAATTTTAAATTAGCAATTTTCATATTATGTGTAATGATGATGAATTTAAATTTTCATTCAAGAATCATTATAATTTTTGGAATACCGTTCCAATTGGTTCATGAATTTCTACGCCACTCAAATTTTCATTTTGAACCAAAAACTCACTCTGCCAATACTTCGTTTGACTGCATGTCTCCAACTCTGGAAAAAAAAAAATTTCTTCATTCTTCCGTCCTTTTTACAGTTTTTTCTCCCTATTGATATTGAAGAGCCAAGAGTATTTTTAAAGATTCCATTGTTAAAGGTTTAGAAAATATTGCTTACCATCAGCAAGGTTAAAACACCAGGCTTCTCTTTAATGTTGTCAAGAATCCCCTCCAGGTGTTTCCTGGAAGCATAGTTCCATTGTTAAGAATCCCTTCCTTCTTCCTTTTTACAGTTTTTTTTCCCCGTCTCATCTTTCATTTTTCCTGTCAAACCTCACAGATTTCTCTGCACGCCGTCTTTCCATGACCAGCATGCAACAGCCAACATCGGGTCATCCGTCTTTTTTTTCTAATCTTTCATTCACATTTTCGCCAACATTATTACTCCAAATTTCTCAACTGTTAACATTTTCCCCAAACAAATCACCACGCTACGTATGTACACACACAAGTCTATGAGAAAAGGTTGAAAGATAAGTTTCATTGCATTTACTCATTAAAAAGGGGAAATGTTCAAGTCTCACTCCACCTTTGCTTGTTGCATTAAACCAACAATAGACAGGTAATCTTGAAGAAGAGTTTCACCTGAAAATTTCAAGCCTCATTCTTCGGACTTGTAGGTAACAAATGAAAGGCTCCAATCGTGCAGAAAATCCCTGAACTTTATCATCACACCTGGGAATAGGTGGTGGTGCATCTAAGGCAGCAAATGTAGTCATGAAAGTTGAAACCAACATAGCCACATAGGCCGAGTATAATCACTGGGAATTCAGCTTTTCTAGCTTAGCTTTTGCCAGATCAAATTGTTCTGCCAGATATTAACCAACCAAGAAGGAAAACTATATCACTAAAGCTGTATAATCCCCAAGAAGAAGATTATGCAGTGAAAAGAAAGATCTCTTACTTTCCTCGGATGATTTTGCTTTTTGAATAGTTGTGCGGAAAAATAAGTGCCCATTTCTCTGGTAGACAGTCTGCAGTCACAAAGACAAAATATCATATCTGGTACATAATCAGAAGCAGCTGCTTTAGTTTTATTTATTTATTTTTGGACTGGGAGCATTATATTACTTTATATTGAGAAGAATCTGATTAAGAGTTTATTGATGAAAACTAGACAAAGCAATCCCATCATTAGATTAGCTGAGATCATTGGATCATACATGTTACAACCGTAATAGACCTTGCCACATGTTAGACTCTCCTAGAAAGTTTCTGATGCTCCCCATTGAAAGAATTGAAAGTTATTTTCCAAGTTGAAAGAATGTAAAAAGGGAGTATCTCAAATTCATTTATGCACCTACAAAGAAACTGAGTGTACATTACAACTGCTGCTTATTTTCCTACTTCATCCACACAAAAATGATTTAGTATAATTTTAGTATGTGAAAAACCTGAAGATTAAGGATGTAGTAACTGGCAACTTATCAACATTCAACACTATTATAAGAAGACAACATAAAGTTGTTGAATGCACCGACAGGTGAAGCATTGGAAAGGGGTATGATTGTCCACCAAGTAGATTGCACCTAATTCTTATAAGTAATCAGATAATGCTTTCATAAAATTTTCTATTTCCTATTTGCAAGAAATTTTTTGGCTCTGCAATGAGAATATATCAGTGTCTCATTGGCAAGCTACTCAATTCATCAGGAAACTTCGGAGGACTCAAGGTGAATTTCTCAAAGTGCTGCCATAACCTTCTCTTTTATAATAAAGAGATCCATCAGTGTCTAGGAAATAACAAGTTAACAACCTTCCACTGGCTTCTCCTGAATTACAAGAGATCTTCACCTAATGTTGGAACTCAAACCTTATGTTCCAGTACCAAAAGATATGCTTAATCCAAAGAATCAACAATAGTGAGCTTGCTGATCCATCAATTCTGGATCAACATCATTTATTATATGCGGCAAAACAACCCTCCAATCCTTTGTAACTCCCCTGCATAATTTTTTGGCCCTCTCAAGCCAGTTCTGTGAACAGCATATAAGTAGTTCTTCTAACTTAGCTATCATTATCATCAACATTAGCAAAATCTAAGGTATTTCCTAATGCCAGATTCCAGTGATCAGCACTTCCTAAAAATTCATATCCAGATACTATCATAACTAAAAAAGGGCCCTTTCCCATTCTGCAGTGAATGTTCAACAAAGGTAATGAATTCTTCGTTCAAAGTTAGAGATGCTTATACTTTCTTGATTTGTCTAAGACATTCTATACGAACCTATTCACAAACACATCATCCTGTCACATTTGAAAAGCACTTTTCACCGTTACCAATAGCATCATAATTGAACTCTCGCAAAATCAATGACTCCAAAATAAACACATCAAAGCCCAAAGTCCCTATCTCTCAGGCAAGCCCTAAATTAACAAACATCCTTATAACAACACAACTAAATGTGCCACCTATAATGGCTACAATGACCACCTATATCAACACAACCCTACAAGTGATACAAAAATAACTGACATCAAACTTAGATTTCCATCAACAAGAGAAAATGGCGAAGCCAACTTAGCCGGTTTCCATTAATTCTAACTCTAGAATATAAAAGCTAAACCATGAAGAATTCCCAATGCCAATCCACATTCTTACCATTTCAAATTTCAGATTGAAGATGTCCCAGTTACATGCACCTTTCAAATAAAGAGCATGCACAAGAAAAAAAAAGAGAAAAAAAAATTTACAAGAGATAAAGTGGTAATCCTTGTTAATTAGACATGAATCACTACAAGCAACAAAAATAAAGTCGAAAACTTTGAAGAAAACATAAAGAGGAAAGTCATTGTTGAATTTCATTAATCCGTACCCGTGAAGGAGAAAGATTACTGAGCTCTGCTATTGCAACTTCATGGGTTCTTATCTGATAGGAAAACAAAAAAGAAAAAAATAAACCCATTAATGTAAAAGCATGAGATATAGAAAAATGAATAGAAAAAATAAAAAAAAAAAACCTGCTTGATTAGGTCGAGTTTGGGATCTGTAGATGCGGAGGATGAAGCAGTCGCCATGGGTTGCTTCTGTTTGTCCTCCCTGCGAGCGAGGTATAAGCTAGGGTACAAGCCCACCGCTTCTAGAACCTAGACTGCTAGTAGAAAATGAAGACATTCTTTTATAGTGAATTTTACATTGTGGTAAATAAAGAAGAATATAAAAAAAAAAAAAGTTTAAAAATATTTTATTTCAAAAAAAATATATAGAAGAGTTTGAAGTTTTTTGTTGTTAGTTTTACTAATTTTTTTTTGTTTTTGAATCCAAAATGAGTTTTTTTGTTTGAATATAAAGAAAAAAAATATTTTTTTAATAATTAAAAATTATGATTATAATTTTTTAATTAATAATAGACTATTATCCAGTCAAATATTTAAAAATCCCATTGGTAAGAAAAGGAATTGCAATCCATTGATAGAAAAGATCACATCTAAAATTAAAAGTTGGGCTGCAAAACAACTTTATATGCTATTACAGTTCAACTCATACAATCTTCAATTTTCAATATGCAAAATTTAATGGTGCAAACATTTCATCTTGCCTTAGTACATGATAAAGAAGATTAATTAACTTTGCCTAGCTTTCCTGTGGAAAGGGAAAGTAGGAATTGCTTAGGGAACCAGAGTTAATTGGAAAGCAATTTGTTATCTTAAGCTAGAAAAAGGATTAGGACCCAAAGATTTAAGATCTTGGAATCAAACTTGCCTCCTGAAGAACATATGGTCCATTTTCATAAAAATTGGTTCATTATAGATTGCATGGTTTGAAACTTATGTTCTAAAAGAAAAAGACGTTTGGCAAGTCCCGATTCAATCGAACAGCACCTGGGGTTAGAGGAAGTTGTTGCTAATAAAGCAAATTGCTCGGCAGTTCACTTAGCTGAAAAATGGAATAGAAGTTTGGCATTTTCCAAATAATAGCTATTCTGTTGCTATTGTATGGAAGATCCTTTGGCCTAAGCAAGAAAAAGTCAGATGGCACAGGCTAATATGGTTCACATACCATATCTCTAAGCACTCATTGATCTCTTGGATGGTTATACTAAATCAGCTACCAACCAAAGATAGGGTGAGAGTCCGGTGAATGGAGATTTATGACAGGTGCAGGTTATGCAAGAATAAAACAGAAATAAGGGATCATATGCTCTTTGGCTGTGCATACTCAAAGAAAATCTGGCAGCGGTTGCTTCAATTATGTAGAATTCGTAGAGTGGAGAGAATTCGGATTCAAAATTAAAGTAGGCAACAAATAGATTGAAGGGGAAAAGCATTGATATCCATCATTTTGAGACTAGCATGGAATGCCAGCAGACACCACATATAGAGGGAAAGGAACCCAAGAATATTCAAGCAAAAACAAAAAAAAGAGATAACAATGCAACTGCAAAATCGAATTAAAGATGATGTTTGAATACGGTTAAAGGGGGCTGAGCCATATTACTGTAGATACAGTCAATAAAGAGTTATGTGATGCTTGGAACCTAAATGTGATTATGATAGAATAACCTGTTAGTTAAATGTACAGTCAATTAGATAGTTATTTTATAGTAGAACTCGACTTGCTTGGATAAATAAAGTACAACATACCCAAAAATAAATAATAATTTTCCTTGTACTTTTCAATGAAATTATTATACTTGTGAATTTTCTTGAATTTTATGTCTTTTTAATATTCAAGTTAGGAATTGAAATCTCATAAACTAAAAATCAGTACTTTTGAATTTTTATTTTTAGATACATGAGAAAAGAATTAGACTATATGTTTTCTCTAAAGAATTAGACTATATGTTTTTTTTAACTTATTTAAAAAATACAATATTCACTTAAATTACTTGAGCTGATGGTAAAGACTTCAAAGTTTGATAGATATTTTAAATTTGACTTATAATGCTTGTAAGTTGAAATTGCTGCATTTAAATCCTAAGACTAAATATACATAGCATATCAATTAGCAAATCATTCTTTCTTTGATGTAAAGGCTCTGTTAATAGATAAAAACGAAAGAAACAAAAGTTTTAAGTCTGAACCAAAGGAAATTTAGACCAACGAATTTGAAAAGACAAATTTTCTTGTCCATAGATCCACCATCCTTTGCCAAAAATTAAAAAGGAGTGGTTGATTTGCTCTCCTTTTCATGTATGAAGCACTTCAATATAAAATTTTATTCACCAATAGTTCTTGGAAAACCTAAAACATGGAAGTACCAGAAATTTTTTTATTTATGATCTCTGATTATCCTATCTTTATTTTTTCTCTTATATTAACACGGGAAATAAAAACCATAAAAACAAGTAGTGGGAAAATTATTCATGAGTATATGGTATTGCATTGCATCTCATATTTCACATTGGACATACAAAGGTACCATAGAATCTAATGTGAAAGCTGTCTTATACACTACTATGGTTGGAAAAATATCACTACCATCCCCTTATTTTATTTTTTGCCTCCCTAGTTTAGTGCTTGACCTTCACCAATGTAGTTGATTTCACACTGTCCAACTCTCTACCTGGCACTGCTTAGAGATGTAGAGCGTTGAAACTCATCAGAAGGATCCCAATCCAATGAAGAAGATAGAATCTTAGATAGAGTGACCAAAACTTCAGACATGGAAGGACGAGCATTGATATCATGAGCAACACAAATTTTAGCCAGTTGAGCCATTGAGAAAGCCAAATCCAGGGGATATTCAGGCCTAAGAGAAGGATCAATGAAGTCCTTGAGCTTCTCTCTCACATTATCCCCTTCAAGCACTCCTTTGATAGATGCAGATAACAACTCCTCTCCTTCATTCTTTTCACCATTTGCAGCTTTTTTCCCAGATAAAAGCTCCAATATAATAACCCCCAACGCAAAAACATCAAGCTTGGGTGTGATCACGCCATTTTCAATGTACTCAGGAGCCATATAACCTTGAGTGCCAACCACATGTCTTGTCAACTGCATTCCACCTTCATTATTGTGCTCAATAGTTCTTGCCAATCCAAAGTTAGCAACTTTGGCTCTAAAGTTAACATCCAAGAGAATGTTACTAGTCTTCAAATTCTTATGAATATGTGGAGGATTTATGTAGTTATGTAAATAATTGAGTGCATCAGCTATATCATATGCAATCTGAACTCTTTGCTTCCATGAAAGAGTATATGAAGTTTGTAACTTGTTGGAGTGAAGCCAATCACTTACTGAGCCTTTATCTGCATACTCATAGACAAGGTAAGTGTTTCCTTCATGTACACAGAAACCTGAAAGCCTGATAATGTTAGTGTGATTGATCTTCTTCAATAAATTGATCTCTGAAGAAACATCCCCTTTCATTACTTTCACAGCAGCATCGTCACCTTGGAAAGAACCCCGAAATACTGATCCTTTAATTCTGTTAGATTCACTGAAATTCCCAGTAGCAGCTTTCAAGTCCTCGTATTTGTAGGGAGTTAAGGATTCGATTGCATAACGAACCCCTTGGGAAGATATTGAAACAGACCAGGAGTTTCCAGTGTAATTTGCTGAATCCGGAAAAGGTTTCAGATTGGATGGTGGTTTTGGCGGTGGCGAAGCTATTGGCCTGGCCTCGTGAGTTTGGCGTTGACGTCTGTAGAAACAGAATAAGAACCCTGCTAGACCAAGAAGGAGAAGGGAACCGACTCCAATTCCAACACCGATGAAAACCCATTTCTTGGAAGACTTAGATTCTCCAACAGGAACAGTTGGTATTTGAGTAGCTGGAGCTGGAGGTGGGGAGGTTTGAGGCAGTTCAATATTGGTAGGCTCATTAGAAAGTGGCACCAAAAGGGGCGTAAATGGAAATATAATATCATCCTCAGATAGCTCATTGGCATCCAATATACTTTTCTCATCAGCACCAAAAGTTTTAGCAATTGAAGAATAGCTATCACCCCAAGCAACAATGTAAGAAAGCAAATATTTTGCACCAGCTTGGATTTGTCTAAGAGTAGGACAAGCACATCTAATAGGAACTACAAGTTCATCACCAACCTTTAATTCCCTATAGTCAATGGGATTTTGAGCTTTCATTGCCTGGCAAGTTGTAAGACCCTGATAAGTATCATTAGAAATGGAAAAGTATGTCTCAGAAGGAAACTTGATGCTGTAAGAAGCATTGTGCTGGTAATAGCTGCCGCTGCTACCGCTGAAACAGGAGCAGTTGACTGGAACAACCACCATTGACTTGGGGGTAATTGCTGTAATATCAGCTGAAAGGTTGTTTATAGAGGAGATTTGGGTAGCTTGAGCTCCTAACAGGTACGCTATGGAGACAGCTGTATTGTAATAAGGTGGTTCTGATCGGAAAATAATGTAAGATTGACATGATCGCCGCTCACCATTGCAGGAATATCCTCTTGTTATATTGTTGTCTTTGCTTGGATTTTCACAATCGAGCTGCTGATTATTTACATAGCCTTGTTGAGCTTGTGTGAATCCAAGTAGAAACAACAATGGAAGTAGCAAAAAGGGAAAGTAAAATTTTTGCCAAGGTTTCAGTTTCGCCATGGAAAAGATCTGGTTTTTTGTTCTCAAATGGAGATAAGAACCAGAGGAGATAAGGAAAGGAGTGTTTTTTATTGGGAGAGTCTTGGGAACGGGGACCCAATTGTGCATTTAATATGACTGGTAGGAATAAGAATTTAACGCGGTTTGTTTAGCCTTTTGCTTGGACTTTTCTAAGTCCAGTTGTCCATTTAGTCGTTAAAACATCATTGGATCTTTTTCCAGTTTTTCTACCCTGTTTGTTTTGTGAAAATTTGTGGGCTGGACTTGGAATTTTTTAGCTGCCATCATCATGTAAGGACTTTCTGTTCATCTGCTTAATGCTTGATTTTATATTATTTTTTCTGTTTTGCTGTTTTCTGTTTGAATTGGAAAGCAAATTTGGAATTTTGATGGATTCAGCCAAATAATTGAGCCGTGTTAGATGGGGGAAAAGAATTTCTACTTACAATATTAACTCTGTTCATATTATTCAATTTAAGAATATTGTATCAAACCTTTGGTTAAGGGTGATCATGGACTAAAATAATTAATCAGAAGTTAACCGAAGTGTCAAATGCTGTCAAGGGGGTGAGTAGAGACATTTTTCTAACAGATGGAAATAAAAAAAAAGTGTACTGTTGACATCTTTAGTCAAATCATTTCCTATATTAAATTTAGGCAAATACACTTTGGTCCAACTGGTTGTTCAATTCCAGGCAAGGAAACCTTCTGCGAACTTGCCCTCTTGCTTTGCTATTATCCATCCAGCAATGCTTTTGACTTATCACTAGTTACAGGTTCCATATTTATTATTATTATTATTATTATTATTATTATTATTATTATTATCATCATTTTGCATTTGCATCACAAGATTTTGGATTTTATTAATCAATTGCTTGATTTTGAAATGCAAGATTTATGCCTGATGTGGTACCTTTTTTGCACTTTAGTTATCTGATGTAGTGTTTCTTGAAGGCTTCTATTTTTCTGTTTTGGGCCTTTTACTAGGGTTGCTCTGTTTATAAAATGTGCCATTCTTAGGTGTAGAAGATTTGTCTGACTTCTAGTATCATAACTAGCATTGTTTATTTGCTCTAATAAACTGAATCATTGATTTGCTTTGCATTGACCAAATGCACTAAGTTTGTTGAAACGCTACTTTCTTTAGGAAGAATGTTAAATTGTTAATGGCATGATTTTGATGTCGCATTCAACGCATCATCAGCAGTTAGTTTCTTGAGTCAATTATGTTTTGAGGCCATTCTATTGATATTTGCTTTTTTGATGCTGACTTTGTATCTTCAATGTATAAGGGTTCTAGCAACTGATGACATCAGAGTGTTAATAGATCTTATAATTTGGGTTGAGATTAAGGAATATTTATCCAAAAATAAGATGGGTGTATTCTTGGTCCAAATCTATTAAATAAATACAAAAATAAAGTGGGTTGAATAAGAAAGATTGTGTTCACACTAGTTAAAAAAAGAGCATGAATATAGATGAGAATATGGTCAAATTCATTATTATGTAATCTGTAAAAGTAAATGGGTTCACATGCAAATCCCTTGATTTTAGGCATAATTTGAGCAATTCAATATGAAAGTTTCCCATGCTAGGATATATTTTTCTATTATTATTTGGTAGAAGTGAGAATAGAGTTTTCTTTATCTTTTAAGCAATCTTTTAGATTGTTCTTCAAGTTCTGTATCTCTCAGGTAGATTTTCTAGAGTGATAACTTTTATTGTTCTATATCTTTGATTAAGATTCTTAGGGTGGTATTTCTGTATCGCTTAGTATCTAGTCTTGGTGGTAAACTTTTATCTCTTTTAATCTAATAATCATATTTTACCATTATTCGAATAATTGTGAGTTATCTTCTTTATGAGTTTTTCTGTTTACAGTTAATCTCCTCATCTCAAATATCAATCTCGACATCAAATTGTATCAAAGCTATGGTAAGTCATCATCAAACACCAGCAAAAGAGGTTGAAACCAACACTGACGTTGCAGCGATTACCAATGTTGACCCAAAGGATGCCCTCATAGAGGAGATGCGACAACAAATCCTTTAACTACAACATTAATTGCATATACATGAAGAAATAGAGGAGTTAAAGAGGTAATGAAGGAAGAACAAAGAAGATGAAGGAGAAATCAATCCATACCATGGAAATAATAGCGATTCTGATGATAGTACCATATCTCACTCATGATAAGTTAAAGACTATCTATACAGAAACCAATTTCAACCTAGCATATTCAATTCGAAGATAGAGATTTCTGAGTTTGAAGGGAAGATGCAACTTAAAAGATTCTTAGATTAGCTACACACGGTGGAACGTATATTTGAATACCATGATACCTTTGAACATCGCAAGGTGAAGTAGTGGCCATCAAACTCAAAAAAGCATGCATCCTTTTGGTGAAAAAATCAGAAAAAGCAAAGGAAAAGAGAAAGTAGGAGAAAAATTATAACTTGGGAGAAGATAAAAAAAGAGTTGAAGAGAAAGTATCTCCCATACAACTTTTGGCAAGATGTCTTCCTTAGGCTCTATAACTTGAAGCAAAAAGATCTTTCAGTGGAGGAGTATACGGTTGAGTTTGACCACCTCATATTAAAATACGAATTCGTAAAATAAGAGAAATAGATTATTGCCTAGTATTTTAGAGGATTAAAGATTGAGATCACTAATTTGGTGTAGCTACAACCTTATTGAACTTTCAATGATATATACAAGCTTGCCCATAAGGTGGAGAGATAACAAAAAAAGGTTCGTGGTAGCAACTTAAGATTTGGGTCCCGAGAAGGTTATATCAATAAAGGTGGCTCATCCAAAATTATTGTTCCTTCTAAGCTTATTCCAAAGCAGCAAAAAAAAAAAAGATAAAACCTCAACAAGCAAGCTTCAATCTAATGTACAAACTAGAAAGTGTTTTAAGTGTCAAAGGCTTAGACATATTCCCTTTAGAATGCCTAAACAAGAAGATTGTAACTCTAATAGAGGAAGACTTGGAAGAAAATAAAGAGAAACTGGTTGAAGAGAATCAAAACCTTGATGAGGAAGAAGAGGTAACCTATTACGATTGTGGAGCATCCTTAGTCATATAATGCAACTTGAGTACTACACCTACTAAGGAAAAGATTGGTTATGTAAAAATATGTTTCACACTCGGTGTACTACCCATGAGAATGTATGTGATGTTATAATTGATAGTGAAAAGTTTTGAAAATGTTGTTTCTACCTTTATGGTGCAAAAATTAGGCCTCAAGGTAGTGGATCACCTCTAACCATATAAGCTATTTTGACTACAGAAAAAGAATAAAATCAAAGTTAGTAAGAGGTGTTTGTTCTTTTTTTTATAGGAAAGCAATACAAGGATGAAATGTGGTGTGATATAGCTCCAATGGATACTTGCCATTTATTGCTCGAACGACCTTGGCATTATGATAGAAGGATTATTTATGATGGTTATCGCAACACTTATATATTTATGAAGGATGGATGTAAAATCATCTTAGGCCCTACCAAGCTTATGGTGATGTCAAAACCAATCAAAGGGGAAGGAAGCAGCTTGTTTACCAAGGCTAATTACAAAAAGAAAATTAAGATAGATGGTACTTTGTATGCACTTGTATTGATTGAGGAGAATAAAGATAATAAAAAACCCCTTGCAGTGATACAACCATTATTGGCAGAATTTTAATATGTTGTTCATAATGAGTTATCAGCTAGTCTACCACTAATAAAAGACATTCGACACTATATAGACCTTATCTCAGAAGCTATTTTACCTAACAAGATAGCCTATAAGATGAGTCCTAAAGAGCATGCAGAGTTGCAATGCTAAGTTGATGAATTGGAAAGAAAAAAAATAGTGCGTGAAAGCATGAGCCCTTGTGCAGTCCCAGCACTTTTAGTGCCTAAAAAGGATGGATCATGGTGCATGTGTATGGATAGTAGGGCAATCAATAAAATCACTGTTGATTCTTGTTTTCTTATTTCGTGCTTAGATGACTTGCAAGACCAACTACATGGAGCAACTATTTTATCCAAGATAGACTTACGTGATGGTTATCATCAAAATCAGAATAAGGCCTGGAGATGAGTGAAAAATAGCTTTCAAGACAAGGGATGATCTTTATGAATTGATGGTAATGCCTTTTGGTTTATCCAATGCTTCTAGTACTTTCATGAGATTTATGAATCATATCCTTAAACTTTATATTGACAGATATGTAGTAGTATATTTTGATGATATTTTGATATATAACAAAGATAATGACTAACACTTGAATCATCTACACCAACTATTTTGCATATTGAAAGAACAAAAATAATATACTAACCTTAAAAAGTGCAGTTCTTTATTTCTAGCCTTGTGTTTCTAGAGTTTGTGGTGTTAAAGGAAGGAATAAAAATGGATCCCAACAAGGTTAAGGCAATTTTAAATTGGCCAACACTAGCATTTTTGCATGATATCCAAAGTTTTTATAGCTTTGCATTTTTTATAGGCATTTCATTTGGAGTTTTAGCCCTATCGTGGCTTTCATCATCAAATGTTTGAAGAATGAAGCTTTTAAATAGACCAAAGAAGCCCAACACAACTTTAAGCTCCTCATTAAGACCAAAATCCCTAAAGCTTTCATCTTGTCCCTACTGGACTTTAATCAAGTGTTTGAAGTGAAATGTGATGCATCCAATTCTGAAATAGGTGTTGTTTTAAGTCATGGAAGAGAGCCTATAGTATTTTTCAGTGAGAAGCTCAATGAAGTAAAAAAGAAGTATTCAACCTATGACAAAGAGTTCTACATCATTTATAGGGCTTTATTCCATTGGATTCAGTATCTCCTTCCTAAGCCATTTGTTCTATGTTCAGACCATGAGACCTTAAAGTTTATCAATAGTTAACATAAGCTCAACTGAAGATATGCAGCTTGGGTGGAGTTCTTTTAAGCCTACAACTTCACTATCAATACAAATCAAAAACTCATAATGTGGTGACAGATGCTTTGAGTCGAAAGCATTTTTTATTGAGGACTATAGCTGTTGAAGTTATTGATTTGATGTGATCAAAGGGCTCTATGAGATAAATTTTTACTTTGGTCAAATTTAAGAAGAATGTAAGTAAAGACCACACAACTAGTTTTTTGTTGTATGATGGATATCTCTTTAAGGCTAATAGCCTTTGTATTCTTAATGTTTCTTGAGACAGGCCTTAATCAATGAAGCTTATGATAATGCACTAGGTGGACACTTTAGAAGAGACAAAATACTTGCTCTTTTGTAGGATAAGTCTTATTGGCCAAGAATGGAGAGAGATGTGATGAAACACCATGAACGATGTATAATGTGCCATATTACCAAGAGTCATGGTCAAAACACTAGATTGTATACTCCACTGCTCGTGCCTAATGTTTTTTGGGAGGATGTTAGTTTGGACTTTGTAATTAGACTGCCTAGAACTTAAAGGAACAAAGACTTCATCATGGTGGTTATGGATCGTATTTCCAAGATGGCCCATTTAGTTCTTTGTACCAAAAATATAGATATTTCTCATGTTTCTGATATGTATTTCAGGAAAATTGTGAGGCTACATGAAGTTCTTAAATCCATGTTATCTGATCGGGATTCTAAGTTTCTAAGTCATTTTTGGTGCATTCTTTGGAGGAAGCTTGGCACCAATCTCAAGTATAGGTTTTCTCATCATCCTCAAACAGATGGTCAAACAGAAGTAAACAATTACAGCTTGGGCAAACTTCTAAAAAATTATGTGAGAAAGAATATTAAGTAGTAGGATCATATTTTACCTCAAGTAAAGTTTGCCTACAACCCGTTCACCAAGCCAAACTACTGGTTGTAGCCTTTGTAAGGTGTTATATGGTAAGAATCCAATCAGCCTTTTAAATTTAATTCCTTTCCCTATTAATCAATAATTTAGTGGAGATGTAGAAGAAATAGTTAAGGGTATCAAACAATTGCATGAACAAGTGAGAGCTAAGATTTTATAGCAAAATGAGAAATACAAAAAAACAGTAAACAAATATCCAAAATATGTGAAGTTCAAAGAAGGTGATTTGGTGTGGATTAACTTATAGAAATAGAGATTTTCTCTAGGGAAGTTTGGCAAATTACAATTTAAGGTAGATGGTCCATTTAAAATTTTCTACAATGCATTTGGGAGAATGCCTACAAGATAGAGTTTCCCAACACTTATGGAGTATTTTCCATCTTCAATGTTGCTTATTTATCACCCTACCATAGCGAGAAGACTAATTTAGACTTGAAGATAAGTCTTTTTCAACCAGAGGAGATTGACACCAGAGTGTCAACACATCTTACAATTTGGGCTAAGACTAAGGAGGACTTATCCGAAAATAAAATGGGCCTATTATTGATCCAAATTTACTAAATAAATGCAAAAATAAGGTGGGCTGAAATAGTGAGATTGTGTTCACACTAGCTGAAAAAGAAGAGCATGAATATGAATGGAAGTATGGTCAAAATCATTATTATGTAATCTGCATCAATAATTGGGTTCACATACAAATCCTTTGATTTTAAGCACGATTCTAGCATTTCAATCTAAAAGTTCTCATGCTTGGAAGGATGTTCCTAACCTATATATTTTCTATTATTCTTTGGTAGAAAAGAGAATAGAGTTTTTTTTTTTTTATCCTTAAGCAATTGTTAGATTGTTCTTCAAGTTTTGTATCTCTTAGATGGATTTCCTAGAGTGGTGAACTTCTATTATTCTGTATCATCGATTAGAATTTTTAGGGTGGTGTTTCTATATCTCTTAGTTTTTAGTCTTAGTGATGAACTTTTATCCTTTTAATCCAATAATCATATTTTGACATTATTCAAATTTTTGTGAGTTATCTTTTTTATGAGTTTTTTTGTTTGTAGTTAATTTTCACATCTTAAACATCAATTCTCAGTATCAATTGGCAAGGTGAGAGAGTGAATCTGCATGTTATTGGCTAAATTTTTGTTCAAAGTTATATTAGTCCTTTGCCGACTATCCCTTGGATCAGTTGGCATGTCAATGGAGGTGGTGATGGGTTCAAGAGAGCTTAGGTGCGTAATGTTCTCTTCAGCCAAGTATGTAGTTAGATAGGGGTTCAAGAGTAGATTAGAAACTTCAAAAAAAAAAAAGTTATATTAGTCCTTCAACATTTCACAAAATATGAGGCAGTGCATTCTGAACTACGATTCTATGCAGTCAGTGACACATCATCAGGTGTTGTATGATGCATGTTTTTCATGGGAAATCGTATGGTTTAATCTGATGTTTATCATGTTTTTACTGATTAAATCAGAACATTTGGGTAGTTTTTTTCTGTAAGGAATCTTTGATTTGTGGAAGATTTTCAAATATACGTTCCTTGTTTCCTTTTTTGGCAACAGAGAGACGAGCTTTTGTCATAGGAACTCTGGCTGCTTGTTTTTACACCATTAATACGGTATCCCTAGCTGCATCATTTAGTTTCATTTATAGATTGCTATACTGCATTTCTGGGAAAGATTCAGCAATTGTTAGCTGCCAAGGGAACTGTATTGCATTAAATAGTTTTATGTCCCATTCATAATCCCTGATCATCGTGATGGCCTAGAATCAATGGCTTAAAGAAGCTGTTATGCTTGCACAACCTAAGAATATTGCTGAAAATAACTATCCAATGGCAGCTGGTAAACTAGTTAGTTTCTGTTTTAGTTTTGATACATTTTTTACTGAGTTTTTAGTTATGCTCTGTGTTAGTGATATGCACATTAGAAATGAATGTCTTTATGTCTTCAGGTTATGCAGCTGAAACATACATGAGACGGAAGACTACCTTGAAATGTGAGAGTGCAGTAGATCATCCCATAAAATCTCTTCAATTGTACATAAGCAGTAAATTGATAAGGTATGTTTTGATTCTGTTTCTGGTAGTTTCCTCGTATAATTAGGATTTTTTGATGAGGCAAATTCCTTGGCTAATGACAGTTGGATATAATATACTCCTAGGTTGCTGCTTGTTGAATTTTGATAGCCTAAACAATTTCTTAAATTTAGTTTAGCACATAACTGCATTTAATAGTAACTGTAAGTTTCTAGCAAACCCTATTCCTGTTATGCTTCTAACATGAACATGGTGGCAACAAGAAACGAATCAGATAGCCATTTATATTTTGCTGTCTGACGGGAATTGGAAAATTATTCATGTCTCCTTCTGACTATAGGAATAAGAACAGCTTAAAAATTGACTTGGTGACCTTTGATGCTGGGGCAGTTGATCACAATTCAATTAGCAATAAGAAACTGATTTCTTCTCAACATGTTGTTACTAGTGCCTGCATGGATATCTGGAGCTATTTTAAGAGTTATAGAAGTATTATATACCTATTTCTTACCGTCTTTTAAGTTCCAAATAATGCTTATTTTCTAACTGTTTATTCTAGGTCTTGAATCTAATCAGACAAAGTTGTGTATTTTACTGCCTTTTGGTATCCTTGTTTTGTTAAATATAAGTTATCAGCTTATCATTGAATTGAATCAAATTATAGGTTAAAAAGTTGCAAAGGAAGAGTAAAGGTATACTAAACAAGAGGATTTTGTGTCCTTTACAAAGCTTTTACCTGCTAAGCTAGTATAGATTTGTTGGTAGATAATATAATTAAACACATAGTGCCCATGGATTCTAGATGGCAAAGACGGTTCTTCACCATCATTAAAAAACCATTAGAAACTTAAAAATAAGTACAGGCCTCAAAGTAAAAGAATATACATAAAAGGCATGCTATGTGATGCATCTATGTCATGCTAAGATGAGTTGGTGACTTTGGTTGAGTGTGGGAACAGAGATGGTTTGGCATGTCATGAGGAAGAAAGAGAGAAAAGAGCTTCAGGCCGAGTGGTCGAAGGTGCCAAGTTTAGGCTCTGGTCCATGAGGAGATGGTTCAATTTCCTTCGAAATTATTAAAATGGTCTAATTTTAATCTATAAATAAACACCAACTTATACTTACTGATCTTAAACTACAGTTTATTCAATAGTAAATTCTCAATGAGATCGAGTTAAGCTAGAGCTCAAAAACACATAGGCGTCTCTGGCAAACCCCTCAAGGAAATAGCCCATCATTTATCGGCATTCCATTGTTTTCCAACATTTTTTTACCTAGGAAAAAAAGGGTTCCCCTACTTTCCCTGTTTTAACTCTATGTTCCTTGCCAATAACTCATCCATTTATTGGCAAGATAACTATCAACTGAAATACATTAGGTACAAGAAAGTCTCGTATCACAAGCTATGCCTATAGATATGTCTGAGAGAAGCTCAGTCTTCATAGAATCCAGTAAAAATAATGATCTTTGCCACCTAGGTTCAAATCAAAGGGATTGAAGACCAGGATTTCAGTAGAGAAGTTATATTCCGGCTTTAATTTAGAAAAGACAGCCATCTCTCAAGTTAAAAGGAAGCAAGGATAGTGGCCACAACTTTATATCAACAAACCTTGAGTCATTACATGTATAGGGGAAATTTTCTTTTGCATCTTGATAAAATAGATACATATCAGTAATATTACATCACCATTCTCCCATTGGGCATATTCACCTGCGTGAGATGAACCTCTTGAGGCAGGAGATGATACTTAATATTGAGAGCCTCAAAAATCTTCTTCAATTCAAAGACAAGCTCTGATCTACGAGCACTCTTTTCACCAAAGTTTTGATGGTTCATGGTATGCTGAACAAAAAGACCCACCTTCATCTTGTCCATGTTCTCAATCTCCTTGAATATCACAGTGTGTTTTGGACTCCAATATTTTGGCTTGCTCTCGAGATACCTGCATTCATGTAATAGTTAATGTTTAATTGTTTTAATTCATTAATTTTCTTCCATATTGGAATCATAGAACTAAGTAGTTTTAGTTCCTTAACACTGGGGGTAGACATTTCACATTAGAATCTTGCTATAGCTAACTTGGGTTCATAGGCTTGTGAGAGTAGCTCTATGTTCTGAGTAATTAATGATTTGAAGTTCTGAACCTAGAATTTAACTCAGTTGATTCATGCAACCACCCTTAAAAGGTGACATCCAGTGGGTCTGGGATTCAAATCCCAGGCTACCACCTTCTTTGTAAATACTATGAACATCAACGATAAAAGCATCACTAAAAACTTTTAAGGTTAACACTTACAATTGTATAGCTTTCTTGAGAGCATTGACATCTTCAACAGGAGTTGAGACATCAATGGTGAAATCAACACTGTCTCCCATGTCAGGGCTTCTTCTGAAATTGCTGATAGGCTTTGTAATGAGAACAGAATTAGGATAATATATCTTCTCCATGTCATATCTTAAGAAAACTGTTGTCAAAATGTTCATCTCTTCCACAATCATCTGCACCAAAACCCCAAAAACATCACATTTGCAAAGAAAAAGAAAAAGTTTTAATGTCTATCCTTGCGTTGTTTGTCTAGAAAAACTCCTTACCTGAACTCCATCGATGACACAACGATCACCAACATCAAAAGGGTGCATAACGAACACGAAAATGATGGATTCAAAGATGGTTTTGCAGGTATTTTGGAACATGAATCCTACAAGCAGCAACTGAGATGTAACAACAAAGACAACCTTAATTGTGGCAACCCCCATTACAAGAAGGGAAACCACAATTATAATCACAATAACAATTGCACTTGCTAATCTGTGCAGCTGTTGGACTGCAGTTTTGGTATCGTTTAAGGAATGAGCCAATGCTTTGCGCTCCACATAAGCATGTACCTGGCAAAGAGCAACATTCATCATACTGTTAGAGAAAAAAAGAAAACAATTTTGAGTAACTTTTTTCCTAATTAATCAGAATTTGAAGCAAACTTCTAATTATGATTAATTGTTCAAATTCTGATTAATTGCTTGTAATTGTCTTAATTTCCTATATCTTATAAGTAATAAGTTTGTACGATATTTATGTTGGTAGCCTAATTCCTTTCAAACCCGTAATTTTCATGTGTTTGACCAGCATGCATATCATCTGAATTATTCTCAATTGGCTATATGTGGCTAGAAAATATAAAAGGTAATTGATGCTTGCTTACCACCCAATTTCTGAAGGAAGATTTTGAGATCTTTCCAGTCTCAAGGGCTCCTTCAAACAAAGGAAATATGGTATGCACTTCCTCACTATTCAAGAACCTCAATAGATCTTCCTCTTCTATATACCTAACCCACAAAGAAATCAAAAGAAAAAGTTACAACAGATAATTATGCACTAGTATTGGGGGAAAAAATAGATTATTCCAAATTACTAGCTCTTATTTATTATTATTTTTTTAATCTTATCTCATTAAACTTCTAGATTGATCAACTATTAAAATATCCTTTTTCAAAGAAAAAATTGACTATCAATTAAGTTTTACCTTCTTTAATTGTTTTTAGAGAAAAGAATCATACATAAATCTCTAGCCACACTTCATCTACCCTTACTTCTTGAGCTAAATCCAAGTAACATCAATTATGTTACTAAATTTGAATACAACATTATTTAGTATGAAGAAAATATGTTTGTCTGATTGATTTTTATTTTTTTATAGAAATTTATTTTGGCATATATAAGAGGTTAAAAATGTTGAGTTTCGGACTACAAATTTATTGAATGTCATCTCTTCAAAGTGATTATATGAACCAATTAAATTAAACTTTGAATTCTTTCACAGAAAAATTTAAGTGAGGGAAGGTTATCTTATTTCAAGGGTAGGGCAGCTGCAGATTTCAGGACCCAAACATCGGTATTTATGTGGTGTATTTTGGGCATGAGTCACGACAACTAATTAGCGTGTGAAATGAATGTATTAAACGAGTGTATATAAATTTTTAATAAAAAAAGTGCTCTTTCAGATAACCACTTGGTGATCAGTGTACATGTCCACTGCACCTATATGCGCACTTTCTATGCACCAGATTTAATTGCTCAGGCCCATTCATCATCTTCCTTTTATTTCTCTTTTCCCTACGAGAAGTGATCACTTGCATTATTGGAACTAGCTAGCTTGGCATACTACAAATTGTCTCTAAACATGGGGACAGAAAATCAATAAAATAAGAAGGAATATTTTATAGTTATGCATTTGAAAAATTATATAACTAGAAGTCCCCACTTATACTCAAACCTCATTGCAAGTTGTGAGTTGAAATTCTTGATGAAACTGTTTGTCATTCATTATATTGCAGTTCAAACCATAATCTTACAATCTTAATCTTAAGTAAATATAATTTTTTATGAATAACTTTCGTGTATTTAAAATATTTTTAAAATCATTATTTTATATATCGAAGATGAAATTTTAAAACTTCGGAAGTAAATTCTAAGGCCAAAATATAAGACAATAATAATATATCTTTAATCCAAAATCATTACAAAACTTTAAACCTTAAGTACAACCTCAACAATTTGAAGAAAAGGACAAAGCTACTCCTTGCAATTGCCAACTATAGGGTATTATAAATATAGAGTTGACTATCTTACAAATATAGACTGACACTAAAATTTTTTAATTATATAAGTGAAGTTAAGATATTACAAAATATTTTGTTTTTTATTATTTTAAACTTTTTTTTAATATATATTAAAGATTATGTCATACCTTACAAATCTTGCATGTAGAAATTTCTTATTAATATAAACATATGTTAGACAAAAAAAACACATAAAAAAGGTAGTGAAAAAGTTATGAACATGGTAGGGATAGTAAGAGCGAAGAGAAAAAGAAAGCTGTATCATCTATTGACAATGGACAATTCCAGCTTGGCCAAGGGTAGTCACTAAAGAATATAATTTCCTCTATTATTTCTAAATTATTGAATATTCCCCCCCCCCCCCCCCCAAAAAAAAAAAAACGAATGATTAAGATAGAAAAGAAGGGTTTCAAATCTACACTTATATTTATGTGTAAAGAAATTGCAAATTTAAGTAAATTAATCATTATGCAACTCAATTGTTTATCCTTGATTGCAAAATATTGGTTAAGTTTTAATTTTTAAATCAACTTAATTTTAAAAAAAGAATATATTAAACCTGAAACTATTGAAAAGAATTTAGACTTTAACATATAATTTTGATTCAAAATTCAAAACCCTTTTTCCAAAATTATTAATAGTTTAAAAAAAATCAAAAGGGGAAACAATGTTTGACAATTTTTATATTTGGATTATGAATGCAACAAACAGATCAAAGCGACAAACAGACATCATAAATTCATGTACTTCATGATGACAGGAATTTTTGAATGTTAGAAATGAAATAGATAGTTGGGAACATATTATGTTGCATGCATGCTTAATTATGAGCCAGCAATTAGCAGGCTGTCACCCTATAAGAAAAATGGGAAAAAATTGGAACTTGAAAACTTAGGATTAATTGTAACTGTATGAGTTGACAGATTTGTGTTACTTGAATTCCATTGAGTATAATTTTCATAGTTGAACTTAATCCGAGAAAAGAAATAAAAATATGGGAAAAAAATTCAGATGGGACAGATTCGGAGAAACTTACTTGGCCCCAGGTTTGGATACATTCTTGAAGATCCTCTGAGCACATGTCCAAGCCTCCCACTCACTGTTAATCTCCGACTCCCCAGCCCCAAAATCATCGACCCTCCTGGAAATCGTCGACAACCCCGATGACATAACGTAGTTCACCAGCCTCTTCACGCTCCATGCGGTAGCTCTGCCTTCCAAGCTAAGTTTCCTCAGCTTCTCCATATCAATCCTTCTCGACCCTTTCTTCGACACCGTTCTCACCATGCGTCCACTGCCTTCCCTCAGCCTCGCAGGCATAGTTTTAGAGTGCCTCAGTCCTCGCTTTCGAGGCAATTCCCTCTCAGCTTCGTCCAAGGGAGGACCTGATAGTGCTTCAAGGATATAGTGATGGAAAACACTCTCTTTCATTCGATCAAAGAAGGTTGCTACGTGAAAAGATGAAGCTAGAACCTTGACCAGGACAATTTTAAGTAACCATATTGTGGCTCCCGTGAGAACAGCTATGAGGCCAAGGAAAGTTTTTTTTACCACAATGTTTTGTTTGTGAATATCAGGGAACATGATCATCCAACATAAAAGAACTAACCCTAACCAAGCACAATTTTGAAAGGTTTTCCGTAATCCATACACGAAATATAAAACCTTTTCACGAAGCATGAAATTTCTTTCTATGAGGAAAACCATGAATCCCACTACCCAAACTGAGACCAAGCGTCCACAAAACAAAACCATGATCATCAGACACCATTTCCATAGCTCTAAACCCCAAGTAACATGATGTTTGAGAGACTGTAGAGTTAGAGAACAGATTAAGCAAGTCATGATAATGACAAACAGAATGAACTCAATCAAGACTCTTTTGTTGATCTTTGTTTTCCTTCTTCTTCTATACTTGGCTTGTTTAGTATCCTCATTACCTTCTTCATCTTCTCCTTCGTCTTCGAACCACTCATCATCGGAGTCAGTGGACGAGATGTCCTCGTGAGGGTATAACGGTTGATTTTCTTCGGATTCAGGGATGGTTTTGGGAGTTAGAGGGAAGGTAGTTTCAGCAAAACGAGCTCTTGGTTTGGAAAAATTTAGACGGCGAAGAGTTTTGGTTTTTGCAGGGGCTTGTGGGACAGGATCCGTAACGTTAAGAGTATCTACATGAGGAGGTGATTCTTTGTGTTTCAAGTTTGGTTCATCCATGAAGAGGACTACTTGATCTGAATTGGGTTTCTGTTTGTTTTGGTTTTGAGCCTCCATTAAAGCTCTGACAAAGCTATCCAACAAGGGATAAAAAGGAGGAAGAGAGTACTGGCTTGAATATTTTCTCACATAAGCAACAATGTGGGCGAGATAGTTAAAAGTAACAAATTGAACCGAGTGAGTGAGTGAATGGATGAGAGAGATTTGGTATAAGACAGTTTTAAAGGATGAGAAGAAGGAAATCTTTTGAATTTTGAACCTTCTTTTTACTATGGAATAGTTGTTGAAGAAACATTTCTTGTTGAAGGCAATTATCACGTGCATTTTCTTTACAACATAATTTTTCATTGATTAACCAGTAAGTGGGGTAATGTTTGTTAATTCTTTTTTAAGCAGGGGAGGTAATTGCCAAATTTAGGTTTTATTTAGGAGGTAAGGAGAAGTTAGTTTTTTTAATAAATTCTTTAAGTTTGATATAAATAAAGATATTTAAATTAATTTAAAAAAAATATTGAGCGAAATCTAAAAAATCATATAGTTAAAAAAGAAAAAAGTTGGTTTTGCTCTTTCATTGATTACATTAATTTTTTTTTTTTGGTTCAACTAAACCAATGAAATTGATTATATTTTACGCAAAGCTAAAATAAATAAAAGAAAATGTAAGTGGGTATTACCTATATCCCATTAAGACAAAGCTTTACCAAAAGTTGTAGTCCTAAGGACCAAGACACAAAGCATAGGATAATAGGATTTTCCAAATAGACCTTCAATCAAATCTTCTGAATTAGGCTTAAACTAAAATTGATCCACTTGGCCCACAAGCACTGCAATTAAATGAAGTAATCATGTGTTGGTAATCCTAATGCTATAAAAAAAAAAAAAAAGAGAATATACAGATATAAAAAATAAAAAGCATATAAACATTTAACTCAATAATAAATGCTTGAATACGGATTTTTAATTTTTGGGAAGGTTTTTGTATGATATGTAAATTATGTAAATTACAACTATGTTTCTTTTCTTTTTTTTTTCAGTTGCAAAAAAAAAAAAAAAAAATTCCCTCGCTTCTGGTGTGAATTTAACTCATAAATTGATTTACATTTTCGGGTGTTCAGTTGTTACATCCAAAAGCACTACTCTATCACGCCTTGATATACTCTGGACATGGTCCAGGACTCCATAAAAGAGTTTGAAAAAAAAAAAAAGAAAAGCTCAATGCTTGATTAAAATTCAAAATACAGATAGCAATCACAAGATAAAACCGACCCACAGCCACACTCACTGCATTGGGCCCTGAAAAAAAGTGAAAGCATTAAAATAAAAAAAAGTGGAGAGAGAAGACTGAAAAAAAAAAAACGTTGTTATTACTTTCTGTCATGTAAAGACAATCATTAATACAGAACCAATATCCAACTCATACTCGCACAATCAATGCTGCCAGCCTAAATGGTTTAATAGTCAAAGGAACCCCTGACACCTTCAAGGCTCTCTCCTAATGATAACCTGTAAAAAAAGAAAAAAAAAAGTTCAATAAAGATGAGTTGTAGTGAAAAAATGTTGTTAAACTCCATTACTTAGCTAAGGTACATCCTAGAATGTTATGATAAATTTATGTAAAAGAAAAAAAAAAAGGGCCAGGGGTGGTGAAGAAATACACCAACATGAATAAACATCAAAACCGGCCACAAAAAAGGAAGCACAGGAAGGCCATTAGGCAGAAAATGATGAACTCCAGCTCAGGATAATCAACTGAGCATGACATATGACAGATGTATTACTCAGAGGCAGATCCAGATGGTGGACACCCCCAAAGATTGGATCACAAGAAAATTCGAAAGCAACTATATGACTAAAGCAAGCTTCTAGAGTGAGAGTTTGAATACAATTATACAAGGACAAATGCATTGCTTTAGTTGAGAAGCCAACATGTGCATTTTATAAAGTAAACTGAAAAGAACAAAAGCATATAAAAATGGATTGATATCCAACGGAACAAGTGTCCAAAAATTAATGTGCGACAAAAACACAAGGGGAATTGCTCAAAATTAGTCACTTTTCTCACTTTGCAGGAAAACAGCCTAACTGTGTAGATTTTATTGGCTTTACTATATATGCACGAGGAAAATATGATTTTCTAACATCACATCATTGGAAGAGTCATCGATATAAATGGAAACAAGGACATCGAACAGATTAAAAACATATGACATTATACTTCCAAATGGAGAAGCAGAAAAAAGCATCCCTACCAACCGAGATTTCATACACACTCGAGGGATAGTCAACATTTGTCAATAACTTATTGGTTTACTATACTAAGGTATGAATCACACAACTAGTTTATAAAGCAGAATTAAATCGAAGACACAATATCAATCAATGTCCACCAAAAGCATGGAAATAATAACTAAGCCTTAAATTTGTTCCCAGCATTTTTCAAGTTAAATTGGCCAGTGTCTAGATCCTGCCATCCCACCAATGCGGGTCAAAAATGTATTTTCACCTCCATTTAAATGCACTGGATGATGATCAGAAAGATAAGCAACTTAACCATCCCTCATATGTAAGCAATGAGAAAAGTTAATTGCTGTTTCTTGCCCTCAGAAATAAAGGCTTCTTTTGGAACCATGTCTTACACATTTGAGAAATTATATCAATTAGTCAAAGAAAAGAAAAAAGAACGAAAAGAAATTATATGAAAGCCTATTACAAGGGTTTAAATATTCACAATCCTGTCTCTAAGCCCCAAAAATTCATCCTCAAACATCCAAAATTAATGTGCATTTTCAGAAAGTTCAAAACATCATGGAACTTTTTCACTTCTTTCTCACTAGATAAGAGTTACTAATGCTCATCAAATAACCAGCAACGATAAAACCATCACAAGAAAATACAGGCAAGATTCAAAACATAAGTTAGGCAGTTTGGCCAACAATTGAAAGAGAGCCATTTCATAGAAAGATAGCCAACTAATGAACAGAGAAAACAATAACCAACAATTTGGATAAGGTCTACCCATACTACCTTTAAAGAAATGAACAGTGATCAACTGTCTTTAAAAGTACTGATATAGTGCAATCACCAGCACAGAAGATGTACAGTATGAGAAATTGTCAAAATTAATGTGAAGAGCAAGGCATGGATAAGACAGCATTGACCTTCAGACTTTCTTTTCACCTCATTACTATAGGCTCAAAATGTGGAATGCTAGCACCTCGAGAAAGCAAGGGGGAAAAACTCAAATGGTATGTCTAATTTATTCCTTTTACTTTCATCTCTCACAAGTAAAATGAAGGTAGTCCACTTGCCCACTTAAGGTTTCTAATCAAAGTAGAAATTGAATGCTTTAATGAGGCTAATTATAAAGCAACCAAAACTGTCTGATGATCTAATGCCAAGATATAGGGAAACCAGTAAATGAATTGTACACTGTTTAGTCCAAGGATGCAGAAGTTACTTACCAAAGAAACTGTGGTGAGTTACAATTACAGCCTAAACTAAAGGAAAGGAGTATGACTTACCCTATAAAATATCTCTGAACTAGACACTAGTGTTTGTGTGTGTACACATTCTTTAAAGGCTACACACTGCACTAACAGAACTACTTCTATTACCACAACCAAAGTCCAAACTCCCTCTCATTTCAATATATGTTCAATAACAGCATGATTATTGTACAATATAAAACAGAAAAGACATGATGAATCCATAAAAGTTGTGAAACTTACTTATACATGCAGTATTTGAACTCTTGGCTCCTTATAAAATCTTTCTCTCCTTCTTCAAGCTACAAGACAGAAAACACAAAAGCAATCATTAAACCAGACAACAGAAACAGATTCATACAGCACTATAGCAAAGAAGGATTTTACATACGGGATCACTTTCATATATAAGCTCGTAACAAGCCAGAGAAAGGCACTTCAAAGCACAATTCTCCTTTGCTATTGATGAAGACTTACATTGCCCACCCCACAATCCACTGATTCCATAATCAAACAGAATAAAAAACAATAATCAGTACAAGTAAAAAAAAAATCTTCTTGAAAATTATTGCATCCTGCTAAGTATCAAAACCCAAAATTTCCATATCCATTCATCGTCTTCACTTAAAAAAAAATACAAGTCCCTCTAATGGAGGAGAATAAAAGTTGAATTGAGAAAAGATTTCAAAAACACAAATAAAGTCCACTAAAATAGTCGATACAAATAACTCTATCTAAGATTTAATTAAATATTATGCAAGATTATTAAAAAAAACCAGATTTATTTCAATTTAAATAAGCAGAAATTCAGCCTAATTGAAGAAAAACATAAAGACCCAAAATTAAAGGAGAAAATAGAAAATACCCACCTGTCGATATCAGCATAACATTCACTCTTCTTTTTCTTAATCTCAGAATCCTGTGAATCGCCATTAAAACAAACCAAGTAAGAACAAAACACAACAAAAGGAAAAAAAATCAAATTAAAAGAAAAAAAAAGGAAAATAGAAAGAGAAATTGGGTGTACTGTGATTGGATTACGAGATTTGGCCAGGACTGAAGGAAGGAAATTTGAAGAAGACAATAGAATTAATAATAAAATAATGTAACGTGAAGGAAGATTATAATTATTGGACATTGATCTTGGTTTTGGGTCTTTCTCGGTGAGGTTTGTTTGTAGAAGTAGAGGAACAAGAAAGGTGATTTTTCGTTAATGGTCTAACGTTAGCAGAAGTGGCGTGGGAGTAGAATTTCGAACAGTTAATGCAGTTGCGAGCAGTTGAATTTGGCCGACATGAAAGTCGACGGGCCTAATCACTGATCGCTCAACCCAGCTGAAACGTCCATTTGAGTTCCTAACCACTGCAATGAAATTTGGGTCCATCCGGCCCCAAACCAACGCATTGCCCAGGCCCTTTTAACTGGTTTATTATTTTTATATTATTTATTATATTAATTATTTATTCTTTAAACTATATAATTAGCTTTCAATCTCTTTTACATTTTCTATTCTTGGTTTATATACTCTTTATTTTCTTTTATTAGATCCATTTACATTTAATAATTACAATGGAAATTAGAGAATATTCAAAATATATAACAAAATTGTTAAATATTTTGAAGAAATTAATATATAAATCAATATAAAATTATATTAAACTCACATACTAGACTTAAACCTATAATCTCAAAAACTTAAAATTTAAAATTAAGACAAGATTTCTTCAGTTGAATTTCATTTGTTTAATCAGAACAAATGAGAAGAAAAAAAAAGTAAATCGAGATCTCTTAAATTCAACTTATAATTTATTTTATACATGTTATGATATATATGTTCGACTGTCATTATTTTCAATTTCAATGTAAAAACACAACTGTAAAAATGAACAGCACAGTAAATTAATAATAATGGAAACACACAAAATATTAAACCCTTTTTAAATCTCGAGAGATGAATTTTTTAGATTTCATAAATAGAGTTAAAGAATACATAAAAATAAAACATGCATTAGTTAATTAATTAATGTTAATTTTTTTAATCTTCTCAATTTATAAAATTTAAAAATTTCATGATAATTATATTTATTTATTTTTAAATGTTGTTTAATGTAATACAAAGTTAATTTATTAATGGTGATGGTGATGGTGATGGTGATGGTGATGGTGGTAGTGGTAATGGTAGTGGACGGTGGTGAAGTTTACTCTTCCTCGTTTCTTCTTTTAGTCTTTGGTTGACTCTGATTCCCACGTTCTCCTTCTTCTACCTTTATCTTGATTTTTTGCATTTCCTACATTAACATATGAATTGTATGACGATTCCGTTTCTTTTTTCTTTTATATATACTTCTCAATCTCTCAAAAACTCATAAAAACTTGTATATTCCCTCAATCAAATTCAACAAGTATATTATGAGCAGGTGCGTACGCTTCTCTTTTCCTTTTTTTCTCTTTTTTTTTTTTTAATTTGTATTTTTTTTTTGTTTGTTAAATCCTATACTTTAATTCAGTATTCATGCTAGTTTCCTTGAACCTTGGATTAAGAAAAAATTTTTGAACTGAGTTTTTTTATAGTATTTTAAAATAAAATTATCACAATAGATAAGACTTAAATGAAAATTTTTAAATAAAAATCAAGAAATTTTTATTAAAAATAATTAATAAAAACTCTAATTTGCTAAGGAAGTTTTTGTTTAATGACAAAAAAAAAAACCTTAAAATCTTAAAGTTGTAAATGCAAATTTGGATTTGATTATGATTGTAAGTTTTACAAAAGAATTTTAATTTAAAATCTAAATAAATATATTGATAGAGTTCAAATAAAAAATTAATAATATAAAAAAATAATTAAAAATATCATTTATAATTAACATTTGATCCGTACTTATTCACATATAAAAATTTTATAAAAAATTTAGTAAAAATATTTATATAAAAATATATATATCAAATTTATTATTTTTTTTTTCAAATCTATATATTGCAAAATTTTTCTATCTATCCATTTAAAATTTTAATTTTAATTTTTATTTATCTGTTTTAATAAGTTTTTCCCAACTGTATTCAACCAAGTAACACCATTACCATATTCCTTAACCCCTCTCTTACTTTTTTTTTTTTTTTTCTTTTGGATTTTATGACAGTGAGTTCATTGTCTTCATTTATTTTAGTTGAATCCGTCAAAAGTAACGGTGTCATTTAGGAGTGAAATTTCGACAATGTACAATTGCATGTAGAATGTCACTGTTGGTTCTGCATCCAAGTGGAGAAGCATTGCTTGTGATCAAGTGGGGCGTAATCATACATTTTCTTTACAGCTTCAAAACAGAGTGATAATTTTGCGGAGAGTGCCCGAAACAGCGATGGCTTTGAGCACAACAGATCTATTATTCAGCAAAATACTGCCCATGTTGGAAAACCAAGCATCTTTGCAGAGCGGGGTTGGTGATGAAATCAATGAAATCAAGCTTGAGCTGAGTAGCATGAGATCCTTTCTTGAGGATGCTGATGATGGACCACGAGCACAAAGCAAAGCAGAGAATGATTGGGTGGCAGGTGTGCGAGAAATATCTTACCAAGTAGAAGACATCATTGACGAGTACATGTATGACATGAACAAGCAACAACAATGGAAGGGTAACTTCCTAAAGGGTATTCATTTTCCGCAGAATCTATGGTTGAAGCATAAATTAGGGAGGAAGCTACGAGATATCAAAGAAAAGATCAAAAGCATTCCAGAGAGAAGCCAAAGATATGGGGTTTATCAGTTAGAAGGGTGGGATAGAAGAAGAGAGGGAATGCTTGGAAATTATGATCTTAATTGGTTCAAAAATGAAAGTGAGTCTTCTCTTTTTCTTAAAGATGATGATCTTGTTGGCATCAAAAAGACACAACGGGAATTGTTGGATTGGCTGACAAATGGGAACCTTGAAAGGACTGTGATCTCAGTGACTGGAATGGGTGGTTCAAGCAAAACCACACTTGTTGCCAACACCTTCAACAAACAAACTGTCAAGCAGCATTTTGACTTCTGTGCCTGGACCACTGTCTCACAACAATATACAATTGAAGAGTTGCTTAGATCCATGATTAAAGAAATCTACAAGAAGAATAATGAACAAACTCCTGTGAACTTGAACAACCTCAGCTACAGGGATTTGGGAGAGAAACTGGAGAAGTATTTGCAGGCAAGGAGATATCTTATTGTGCTAGATGATGTGTGGAACCTCAACCTCGGGCAACAGATAAGCAGAGTCCTTCCTAATGGAAGGAATGGAAGCCGTGTCATGCTTACTACGCGAATGGGAGAGGTAGCTTCTTTTCAGTTTGGGACTACAAACCACGTCCTTGAACTTAAGCCCTTAAGAGACATTAAGGCTTGGACCCTTTTTTGCATGAAAGCTTTCCCAAGCAATCTTGGTCAATGTCCACCAAATCTTGATTCTTTAGCACGAAATCTAGCTGAAAAATGTAAAGGCCTGCCATTGGCTATTGTAGCTTTGGGAGGATTGATGTCTTCCAAGAAGTTCATAGCAGAATGGAGAATAATCCATGACAACTTAAATTGGGAGCTCAGTCACAACCCTGAGCTTGGAGCTTTGAAGTGTATCTTATTGCTTAGCTATTATCATTTACCTTACCGACTCAAGCATTGCTTTCTATACTGTTCCATATTTCCAGAAGATTATTTGATTAGGCGAAACAGGCTCATTAGACTGTGGATGGCAGAGGGTTTTGTGGAGCCAGTCAACGGCGCAACACCAGAAGTTGTAGCTGAGAGATACCTGATGGAATTGATTTCTCGGGGATTGCTTCAAGTTACAAAGAGGAATGAATCCGGAAGGCCCCAAGCATGTAAGATGCACGACATTCTACGAGAGCTTGCAGTTTCAATATCAGAATCGGAAAAGTTTGTTGCTATATCTGATAGGAAAGAAGCAGTAGTAGAAGACCATGGGATTCGCCGCTTGTCAATTATCGTAAAGGATAAAGAGATAAAAGCAAGAAAGGGTATATCACAACTTCGTTCATTTTTTGTTTTTGCTGTTGATGAAATCTCTAAATCTTCCTTCAATAGGTTGCCATCTGGTTTTAAACTGCTGACAGTGTTGGATTTACAAGATGCCCCAATCAATCAACTCCCAAGTGAAATGGCATATTTATTCAATTTGAGGTATCTCAACTTAACCAGGACTCAAGTGAAGGAGCTCCCGAAATCCATCGGAGAACTTTGTAACTTACAGTCTTTGTTCCTTAAAGAAACCCAAATTGAAGAGCTTCCACCAGGAATTGTGAAGTTGAAAAATCTGCGGCATCTGATTGTTTACCGTTTCAATATCAAAGGGACTGACTATGATCGTTGGGTCAGCATGCGCCTACCATCCGACATTTTTCATGGTAATAAGAACTTGCCAAGTTTTGACTTTGCAGAAGCAGGGGCAACTTTAAAGAATCTCAGCAAAATGACACAGCATGAAAAGGCTTTGTTTTGCCAATGTAAAGAAGCTAATGAGAAAGAGCGGTGCTTACTCCCTTGGGAAACATTCCCTCCTTCGCGTACTCTGATGGTGATGTCTTTGTACGAAAAGGAGCGATTTGAAGATGGATAAACTTGTTCTAAAGCTCCTCCTTGGCCTTGAGGAAACTTATTCTAGCTGGGAAATTGGAGAAGGTGCCGCACTGGTTTAGCTCACTTCACAGCCTGACTTGCTTGAGATTACCATTGGTCTGTAGATTGAGGGAAGATTTTGTTGCTCACATCCAAGCATTGCCTAACCTGGGGCGAATTACACTTGTAAATGCATACTTAGGAGAGCGATTGTGCTTTCTTGAAGGGTTCCCAAAGCTTAAGATTTTAAGAATACAGAGATTCCCTGAGTTGAAAGAAATTGTGATAAAAAAAGGAGTGATGCCAGATCTCCAGGAGCTAAATATCCGTGAATGCCAAAAGTTTGTCAAGTTACCACATGGTTGGAAAAGTTTACCTCATCTCAAAAAGGTTTGTTTGAGGGATGTTTCGAGTGAAATTGTAGAGAAAATCTGTGGAGCTTCAGAAAGTATGGATCAACCAACAATCAGAGTCATCTTACTGAGCAGAGTAGAAGAAGAAGAAGAAGATGATGATGATGATGATGATCAATCTAATTTCAAGTGGGTGTATCGAACCTATGACTGACCCAAAGAAAGGGGAATAGTAAATCTAATTGTATGTACCCAGCACTCCTACTTTTGTTTCCTGTTGCAAGCATGACATTTTGTCCACTTAACTGTGCCCAAAATGCTCGGTGGCTACTCAATTTCTCCATCATTCTTGAACATTCAAATGGCACTTTTATTCTGTTTACCTTCTTTAATTTTCAGGTTATTTGAGAAGGTTGACAAAAAGTCTGGGGCGGTTTGGTCGAATAAAGTTACCAGTTCATGCATGGAAACAATTGTTATTATCATAATTAATGTTTTGCTTTTCATCTTACATATAATATAATTGTATTGTTACATATTGTCATTTATAACTGTATTCATATATATATTTTTTATTATATATAATTAATTTTAAAAAAAATATTGAGCGAAATCTAAAAAATCATATAGTTAAAAAAGAAAAAAGTTGGTTTTGGTCTTTCATTGATTACATTAATTTTTTTTTTTTGGTTCAACTAAACCAATGAAATTGATTATATTTTACGCAAAGCTAAAATAAATAAAAGAAAATGTAAGTGGGTATTACCTATATCCCATTATGACAAAGCTTTACCAAAAGTTGTAGTCCTAAGGACAAAGACACAAAGCATAGGATAATAGGAATTTCCAAATAGACCTTCAATCAAATCTTCTGAATTAGGCTTAAACTAAAATTGATCCACTTGGCCCACAAGCACTGCAGTTAAATGAAGTAATCATGCGTTGGTAATCCTAATGCTATAAAAAAAAAAAGAGAATATACAGATATAAAAAATAAAAAGCATATAAACATTTAACTCAATAATAAATGCTTGAATACGAATTTTAAATTTTTGGGAAGGTTTTTGTATGATATGTAAATTATGTAAATTACAACTATGTTTCTTTTCTTTTTTCTTTTCGGTTGCAAAAAAAAAAAATTCCCTCACTTCTGGTGTGAATTTAACTCATAAATTGATTTACATTTTCGGGTGTTCAGCTGTTACATCCAAAAGCACTACTCTATCACGCCTTGATATACTCTGGACATGGTCCAGGACTCCATAAAAGAGTTTGAAAAAAAAAAAAAGAAAAGCTCAATGCTTGATTAAAATTCAAAATACAGACAGCAATCACAGAAAAAACCGACCCACAGCCACACTCACTGCATTGGGCCCTGAAAAAAAGTGGAACCATTAAAATAAAAAAAAGTGGAGAGAGAAGACTGAAAAAAAAAACGTTGTTATTACTTTCTGTCATGTAAAGACAATCATTAATACAGAACCAATATCCAACTCATACTCTCACAATCAATGCTGCCAGCTTAAATGGTTTAATTGTCAAAGGAACCCCTGACACCTTCGAGGCTCCCTCCTAATGATAACCTGCAAAAAAAGAAAAAAAAAAGTTCAATAAAGATGAGTTGTAGCGAAAAAATGTTGTTAAACTCCATTACTTAGCTAAGGTACCTCCTAGAATGTTATGATAAATTTATGTAAAAGAAAAAAAAAAGGGGCCAGGGGTGGTGAAGAAATACACCATCATGAATAAACATCAAAACCGGCCACAAAAAAGGTAGCACAGGAAGGCCATTAGGCAGAAAATGATAAACTCCAGCTCAGGATAATCAACTGAGCATGATATATGACAGATGTATTACTCAGAGGCAGATCCAGATGGTGGACACCCCCAAAGATTGGATCACAAGAAAATTCGAAAGCAACTATATGACTAAAGCAAGCTTCTAGAGTGAGAGTTTGAATACAATTATACAAGGACAAATGCATTGCTTTAGTTGAGAAGCCAACATGTGCATTTTATAAAGTAAACTGAAAAGAACCAAAAGCATATAAAAATGGATTGATATCCAACGGAACAAGTGTCCAAAAATTAATGTGCGACAAAAACACCAAGGGGAATTGCTCAAAATTAGTCACTTTTCTCACTCTGCAGGAAAACAGCCTAACTGTGTAGATTTTATTGGCTTTACTATATATGCATGAGGAAAATATGATTTCTAACATCACATCATTGGAAGAGTCATCGATATAAATGGAAACAAGGACATCGAACAGATTAAAAACATATGACATTATACTTCCAAATGGAGAAGCAGAAAAAAGCATCCCTACCAACCGAGATTTCATACACACTCGAGGGATAGTCAACCTTTGTCAATAACTTATTGGTTTACTATACTAAGGTATGAATCACACAACTAGTTTATAAAGCAGAATTAAATCGAAGACACAATGTCAATCAATGTCCACCAAAAGCATGGAAATAATAACTAAGCCTTAAATTTGTTCCCAGCATTTTTCAAGTTAAATTGGCCAGTGTCTAGATCCTGCCATCCCACCAATGTGGGTCAAAAATGTATTTTCACCTCCATTTAAATGCATTGGATGATTATCAGAAAGATAAGCAACTTAACCATCCCTCATATGTAAGCAACGAGAAAAGTTAATTGCTGTTTCTTGCCCTCAGAAATAAAGGCTTCTTTTGGAACCATGTCTTACACATTTGAGAAATTATATCAATTAGTCAAAGAAAAGAAAAAAGAACGAAAAGAAATTATATGAAAGCCTATTACAAGGGTTTAAATATTCACAATCCTGTCTCTAAGCCCCAAAAATTCATCCTCAAACATCCAAAATTAATGTGCATTTTCAGAAAGTTCAAAACATCATGGAACTTTTTCACTTCTTTCTCACTAGATAAGAGTTACTAATGCTCATCAAATAACCAGCAACGATAAAACCATCACAAGAAAATACAGGCAAGATTCAAAACATAAGTTAGGCAGTTTGGCCACAATTGAAAGAGAGCCATTTCATAGAAAGATAGCCAAACTAATGAACAGAGAAAACAATAACCAACAATTTGGATAAGGTCTACCCATACTACCTTTAAAGAAATGAACAGTGATCAACTGTCTTTAAAAGTACTGATATAGTGCAATCACTAGCACAGAAGATGTACAGTATGAGAAATTGTCAAAATTAATGTGAAGAGCAAGGCATGGATAAGACAGCATTGACCTTCAGACTTTCTTTTCACCTCATTACTATAGGCTCAAAATGTGGAATGCTAGCACCTCGAGAAAGCAAGGGGGAAAAACTCAAATGGTATGTCTAATTTATTCCTTTTACTTTCATCTCTCACAAGTAAAATGAAGGTAGTCCACTTGCCCACTTAAGGTTTCTAATCAAAGTAGAAATTGAATGCTTTAATGAGGCTAATTATAAAGCAACCAAAACTGTCTGATGATCTAATGCCAAGATATAGGGAAACCAGTAAATGTATTGTACACCGTTTAGTCCAAGGATGCAGAAGTTACTTACCAAAGAAACTGTGGTGAGTTACAATTACAGCCTAAACTAAAGGAAAGGAGTATTACTTACCCTATAAGATATCTCTGAACTAGACACTAGTGTTTGTGTGTGTGTCTGTGTGTGTACACATTCTTTAAAGGCTACACACTGCACTAACAGAACTACTTCTATTACCACAACCAAAGTCCAAACCCCCTCTTATTTCAATATATGTTCAATAACAGCATGATTATTGCACAATATAAAACAGAAAAGACATGATGAATCGATAAAAGTTGTGAAACTTACTTATACATGCAGTATTTGAACTCTTGGCTCCTTATAAAATCTTTCTCTCCTTCTTCAAGCTACAAGACAGAAAACACAAAAGAAATCATTAAACCAGACAACAGAAACAGATTCATACAGCACTATAGCAAAGAAGGATTTTACATACGGGATCACTTTCATATATAAGCTCGTAACAAGCCAGAGAAAGGCACTTCAAAGCACAATTCTCCTTTGCTATTGATGAAGACTTACATTGCCCACCCCACAATCCACTGATTCCATAATCAAACAGAATAAAATACAATAATCAGTACAAGTAAAAAAAAAATCTTCTTGAAAATTATTGCATCCTGCTAAGTATCAAAACCCAAAATTTCCATATCCATTCATCGTCTTCACTTAAAAAAAATACAAGTCCCTCTAATGGAGGAGAATAAAAGTTGAATTGAGAAAAGATTTCAAAAACACAAATAAAGTCCACTAAAATAGTCGATACAAATAACTCTATCTAAGATTTAATTAAATATTATGCAAGAATATTAAAAAAAAAACCAGATTTATTTCAATTTAAATAAGCAGAAATTCAGCCTAATTGAAGTAAAACATAAAGACCCAAAATTAAAGGAGAAAATAGAAAATACCCACCTGTCGATATCAGCATAACATTCACTCTTCTTTTTCTTAATCTCAGAATCCTGTGAATCACCATTAAAACAAACCAAGTAAGAACAAAACACAACAAAAGGAAAAAAAATCAAATTAAAAGAAAAAAAAAAGGAAAATAGAAAGAGAAATTGGGTGTACTGTGATTGGATTACGAGATTTGGCCAGGACTGAAGGAAGGAAATTTGCAGAAGACAATAGAATTACTAATAAAATAATGTAACGTGAAGGAAGATTATGATTATTGGACATTGATCTTGGTTTTGGGTCTTTCTCGGTGAGGTTTGTTTGTAAAAGTAGAGGAACAAGAAAGGTGATATTTCGTTAATCGTCTAACGTTAGCGGAAGGGGCGTGGGAGTAGAATTTCGAACACTTAATACACTTGCGAGTATTTGAATTTGGCCGACGTGAAAGTCGACGGGCCTAATCACTGATCGCTCGACCCAGCTGAAACGTCCATTTGAGTTCCTAACCACTGCCATGAAATTTGGGTCCATCCGGCCCCAAACCAACGCATTGCCCAGGCCCTTTTAACTGGTTTATTATTTTTATATTATTTATTATATTAATTATTTATTCTTTAAACTATATAATTAGCTTTCAATCTCTTTTACATTTTCTATTCTTGGTTTATATACTCTTTATTTTCTTTTATTAGATCCATTTACATTTAATAATTACAATGGCAATTAGAGAATATTCAAAATATATAACAAAATTGTTAAATATTTTGAAGAAATTAATATATAAATCAATATAAAATTATATTAAACTCACATACTAGACTTAAACCTATAATCTCAAAAACTTAAAATTTAAAATTAAGACAAGATTTCTTCAGTTGAATTTCATTTGTTTAATCAGAACAAATGAGAAGAAAAAAAAAGTAAATCGAGATCTCTTAAATTCAACTTATAATTTATTTTATACATGTTATGATATATATGTTCGACAGTCAATATTTTCAATTTCAATGTAAAAACACAACTGTAAAAATGAACAGCACAGTAAATTAATAATAATGGAAACACACAAAATATTAAACCCTTTTTAAATCTCGAGAGATGAATTTTTTAGATTTCATAAATAGAGTTAAAGAATACATAAAAATAAAACATGTATTAATTAATTAATTAATGTTAATTTTTTTAATCTTCTCAATTTATAAAATTTAAAAATTTCATGATAATTATATTTATTTATTTTTAAATGTTAATTTTATGTTTAATGTAATACAAAGTTAATTTATTAATGGTGATGATGACGGTGATAGTGGTTGTGGATGGTGGTGAAGTTTACTTTTCCTCGTTTCTTCTTTTAGTCTTTGGTTGACTCTGATTTCCGCGTTCTCCTTCTTCTACCCTGATCTTGATTTTTTGCATTTCCTACATTAACATATGAATTGTATGACGATTCCGTTTCTTTTTTCTTTTATATATACTTCTCAATCTCTCAAAAACTCATAAAAACTTGTATATTCCCTCAATCAAATTCAACAAGTATATTATGAGCAGGTGCGTACGCTTCTCTTTTCCTTTTTTTCTCTTTTTTTTTTTAATTTGCATTTTTTTGTTTGTTAAATCCTATACTTTAATTCAGTATTCATGCTAGTTTCCTTGAACCTTGGATTAAGAAAAAATTTTTGAACTGAGTTTTTTTATAGTATTTTTAAATAAAATTATCATAATAGATAAGACTTAAATGAAAATTTTTAAATAAAAATCAAGAAATTTTTATTAAAAATAATTAATAAAAACTCTAATTTGCTAAGGAAGTTTTTGTTTAATGACAAAAAAAAAAACCCTTAAAATCTTAAAGTTTTAAATGCAAATTTGGATTTGATTATGATTGTAAGTTTTACAAAAGAATTTTAATTTAAAATCTAAATAAATATATTGATAGAGTTCAAATAAAAATTAATATATAAAAATAATTAAAAATATCATTTATAATTAACATTTGATCCGTACTTATTCACATATAAAAATTTTATAAAAAATTTAGTAAAAATATTTATATAAAAAATATATATCAAATTTATTAATTTTTTTTTCAAATCTATATATTGCAAAATTTTTCTATCTATCCATTTAAAATTTAATTTTAATTTTTATTTAATCTGTTTTAATAAGTTTTTCCCAACTGTATTCAACCAAGTAACACCATTACCATATTCATTAACCTCTCTCTTATTTTTTTTTTTTTTTTTATTTTTTGCTTTTGAATTGTATGACAGTGAGTTCATTGTCTTCATTTATTTTAGTTGAATCCGTCAAAAGGAACGGTGTCATTTAGGAGTGAAATTTTTACAATGTACAATTGCAAGTAGAATGTCACTGTTAGTTCTGCATCCAAGAGGAGAAGCATTGCTTGTGATCAAGTGGGGCGTAATCATACATTTTCTTTACAGCCTCAAGACAGAGTGATAATTTTGCGGATGGTGCCCGAAATAGCGATGGCTTTGAGCGCAACAGATGTATTATTCAGCAAAATACTCTCCATGTTGGAAAACCAAGCATCTTTGCAGAGTGGGGTTGGTGATGAAATCAATGAAATCAAGCTTGAGCTGAGTAGCATGAGATCCTTTCTTGAGGATGCTGATGATGGACCACGAGCACAAAGCAAAGCAGAGAATGACTGGGTGGCAGGTGTGCGAGAAATATCTTACCAAGTAGAAGACATTATTGACGAGTACATGTATGACATGAACAAGCAACAACAATGGAAGGGTAACTTCCTAAAGGGTATTCAATTTCCACAGAATCTATGGTTGAAGCATAAATTAGGGAGGAAGTTACGAGATATCAAAGAAAGGATCAAAAGCATTCCAGAGAGAAGACAAAGATATGGGGTTTATCAGTTAGAAGGGAGGGATAGAAGAAGAGAGGGAATGCTCGGAAATTATGATCTTAATTGGTTGAAAAATGAAAGTGAGTCTTCTCTTTTTCTTAAAGATGATGATCTTGTTGGCATCAAAAAGACACAACGGGAATTGTTGGATTGGTTGACAAATGGGAACCTTGAAAGGACCGTTATCTCAGTGACTGGAATGGGTGGTTCAGGCAAAACCACACTTGTTGCCAACACCTTTATCAAACAAACTGTCAAGCAACATTTTGACTTCTGCGCCTGGACCACTGTCTCACAACAATATACAATTGAAGAGTTGCTTAGATCCACGATTAAAGAAATCTACAAGAAGAATAATGAACAAACTCCTGTGAACTTGAACAGCCTCAGCTACAGGGATTTGGGAGAGAAACTGGAGAAGTATTTGCAGGCAAGGAGATATCTTATTGTGCTAGATGATGTGTGGAACCTCAACCTCTGGCAACAGATCAGCAGAGTCCTTCCTAATGGAAGGAATGGAAGCCGTGTCATGCTTACTACGCGAATGGGAGAGGTAGCTTCTTTTCAGTTTGGGACTACAAACCACGTCCTTGAAGTTAAGCCCTTAAGAGACAATGAGGCTTGGACCCTCTTTTGCATGAAAGCTTTCCCAAGCAACCTTGGTCAATGTCCACCAAATCTTGATTCTTTAGCACGAAATCTAGCTGAAAAATGTAAAGGCCTGCCATTAGCTATTGTAGCTTTGGGAGGATTGTTGTCTTCCAAGAAGTTCATAGCAGAATGGAGAATAATCCATGACAACTTAAATTGGGAGCTCAGTCACAACCCTGAGCTTGGAGCATTGAAGTGTATCTTATTGCTTAGCTATTATCATTTACCTTACCGACTCAAGCATTGCTTTCTATACTGTTGCATATTTCCAGAAGATTATTTGATTAGGCGAAACAGGCTCATTAGACTGTGGATGGCAGAGGGTTTTGTGGAGCCAGTCAACGGAGCAACACCAGAAGTTGTAGCTGAGAGATACCTGATGGAATTGATTTCTCGGGGATTGCTTCAAGTTACAAAGAGGAATGAATCCGGAAGGCCCCAAGCATGTAAGATGCACGACATTCTACGAGAGCTTGCAGTTTCAATATCAGAATCGGAAAAGTTTGTTGCTATATCTGATAGGAAAGAAGCAGTAGTAGAAGACAATGGGATTCGCCGCTTGTCAATTGTGGTAAGGGATAAAGAGATAAAAGCAAGAAAGGGTATATCACAACTTCGTTCATTGTTTGTTTTTGCTGTTGATGAAATCTCTAAATCTTCCTTCAATAGGTTGCCATCTGGTTTTAAACTACTGACAGTGTTGGATTTACAAGATGCCCCAATCAGTCAACTCCCAAGTGAAATGGCATATTTATTCAATTTGAGGTATCTCAACTTAACCAGGACTCAAGTGAAAGAGCTCCCGAAATCCATCGGAGAACTTTGTAACTTACAGTCTTTGTTCCTTAAAGAAACCCAAATTGAAGAGCTTCCACCAGGAATTGTGAAGTTGAAAAATCTGCGGCATCTGATTGTTTACCGTTTCAATATCAAAGGGACTGACTATGATCGTTGGGTAAGCATGCGCCTACCATCCGATATTTTCATGGTAAAGAACTTGCAAGTTTTGACTTTTGCAGAAGCAGGGGACACCTTTATAAAGAATCTCAGCAAAATGACACAGCTGAAAAGGCTTTGTTTTGCCAATGTAAAGGAAGCTAATGAGAAGAGAGCTGTGCTTCTCCCTTGGGAAAACATCCCTTCTTCGCTACTTGATGGTGATGTCTTGTAATGAAAAGGAGCGATTGAAGATGGATAAACTTGTTAAAGCTCCTCCTTGCCTTGAGAAACTTATTCTGGCTGGGAAATTGGAGAAGGTGCCGCACTGGTTTAGCTCACTTCACAACCTGACTTGCTTGAGATTACATTGGTCTAGATTGAGGGAAGATTTTGTTTCTCACATCCAAGCATTGCCTAACTTGGGGCGAATTACACTTGTAAATGCATACCTAGGGGAGCGATTGTGCTTTCTTGAAGGGTTCCCAAAGCTTAAGATTTTAAGAATACAGAAATTCCCTGAGTTGAAAGAAATTGTGATAAACAAAGGAGTGATGCCAGATCTCCAGGAGCTAAATATCCGTGAATGCCAAAAGTTTGTCAAGTTACCACATGGTTGGGAAAGTTTACCTCATCTCAAAAAGGTTTGTTTAAGGGATGTTTCGAGTGAAATTGTAGAGAAAATCTGTGGAGCTTCAGAAAGTATGGATCAACCAACAATCAGAGTCATCTTACTGAGCAGAGTAGAAGAAGAAGATGATGATGGTGAATTTCAATCTAATTTCAAGTGGGTGTATCGAACCTATGACTGACCCAAAGAAAGGGGAATGGTAAATCTAATTGTAAGTACCCAGCACTCATACTTTTGTTTCCCGTTGCAAGCATGACATTCTGTCCGCTTAACTGTGCCCAAAATGCTCGGTGGCTACTCAATTTCTCCATCATTCTTGAACATTCAAATGGCACTTTTATTCTGTTTACCTTCTTTCATTTTCAGGTTATTTGAGAAAGTTGACAACAAGTCTGGGGCGGTTTGGTCGAATAAAGTTACCAGTTCATGCATGGAAACAATTGTTATTATCGTAATTAGTGGTTTGCTTTTCATCTTACATATAATATAATTGTATTGTTACATATTGTCATTTATAACTATATAATACATATATATATATATATATATTAGTGTTTGGCACGTACTTGACACATGTAATTCTTATCTCTAAATATTCATTCTAATAAATAAACTTTTTTATATTATGATAACAATGATAAATACTAACAATATACTAATTTGATTTTGATATAATATAAGTAAATTTTGATAATTTTTTTACATAATTTTGATTTTGATAACCTTTAATAAAATTTTGATAACTTTCGATATAATTTTGGTAACTTATGATATAATTTTGATAACTATTGATACAATTATAGTAATTTCTAATAAAATTTTAATAACCTCTTGCTATAATTTAGTAATCTATTAGTAACTTATAACATAGTTTTGGTAATTATTGATAAAATTTGTATCATCATATATTTAACAATAGAGTTTCTTTCTTCGTTAGGGCTTTTGTTCCTATGTCATCGCCCTCTTGACGGAGAGTCGTAGAAATCCTTACTTTTTTAATGACCAATGAAAAGGGATGAATCTTTCTCACCTAACTATTTTTCATTGTAGTTTAAGCATTTATGTATTTCTCAATTACGAGTAGGACATTGGTCAAAGTTTTGGATGGCTCTAAAGATAAGGTCAACTTGAGTTGATACTCTTTTGTCATTGAGTCCATTTGTTAGACTGGTTACAATAGTCTTTTGTTGTATGTCTTTTAGTTGTAGTGCTTCCACGTAAAAACGTATGACATAATCCTTTAATGATTCATTTCGGCCTTGAAGGATTGACATCAAGCTTAATGTCGTTTTCTTCGTTCTTTATCTACTTACAAATAGGGACAGGAAAAAGTGGTTGAGCTTTGTAAATGTCATGATTAACCTCAGCTTTAGGCTGCTATACTAAGATCAAGCCACACCCTTAAAGGAAGTAGCAAAGCCTTTACATAGCAAAGCTTCGTCTGCACCCTGCATCATCATATTAGTTTTATAAAGTTCTAGATGGTTAAAAGAATCAGATGTACTATCATAAGTTTCTAATGTTGGCATTTTGTACCCTTTTGGAGGTATAGCTCTATCAATTTCTTCAGTGAAGGGTGAGATCTCCAAAAATTTAAGCTCATCCTCAAAAGCTACCACTTTCCCTTTTAGTGTTTTCTCTATGGCTTGCATCCGAGTTTTCAGGTCTTTGTTCGACTGGGGTTCCACATCTATTTGTTTTAATTTTTAGGTTGTGGCATATGTTGAGTTGTGACTTAGGTAATGGTGAGCAACTAAGATATCATGATCTTCTTTTTTGGAAACCAATGAAGCTTTTACCTCTTCATAGCTTGGCTACCTCTCCACAGCTTATTGGCCAAAAGTGACTAGGTCAGGCACCTTTGAGGCCTGGGGTGAAATTATGGTTTGTAGCATTTGTTTAAGAGCTTATATCTACTTGGTTAAAGCTTGGAATTGCTCCATGGTCAGACTAGTTTGTTGTGGGGCAAGTCAGTCTACATGCTAACTATTGTGTGTTTTTGCTCCAATCGGAGTGACTACCTTTCCTTCTTTCAAGGCTTTCTTCTTTGAGGGCATGATTTGAAGTTGGGTTGATGAATAAAAAGCCCTTTACCTAACATGCCAAATGTTGATGTCGAGCTCTAACGTGAGAGTACTCTTGGATGGATAAGAAATGGAAAAAGTGGTTTGATGCAATGGCAGGAAATATTCTTTGCATTTGCACTCCGATGCATAAGTAAAAAACTAAAATAGAAGAGATTGGAATGAGAGAAAAATAAGTGATTAGAGTAAGATAGAACTTGGAATGATAGTACTTGGATTGCCATATTTATAGGTGAAGGGCAAGAGACCAATGAGGGACAATAGTGACATGGTCAAGCTAATGTGATATTGAACTTGTCAAGTTAACTTACATGTCAAGTTGGCACAAATGCCTGAAATGCTTTTGGTTGTCTATTGTCAGCCTCTAATAGTGGAAAAAGATCACAATGCCCTTTTAACCACTAAATGCCTTCAACACGTACCTTGCAGCAACTTTCACTCAACCCCTTAACTAAATCAAAGCCTTTCATCACTTAAAACCCATGACAATACTAATAAGAAAGGTGCGATGTATTATCTATCTTTTTTTTTCTTTTAGAAAGAGAGAATTTATTTTCTATCTTAAATCAATAAATCTTTGGTTCATTGCTCCAACTAAACCCACAACTGACAATTAGTCGAATTTCACCTCATGGGTTTTTTTAGGCCTTGGCCCTATTGTAAATATTTTGATCAAAATACACATTGAATTACTAGTGTGTGTGTGTATATATATATATATATATATATATATATATATAAATAGTCAATTTCATAGAGATTTGAGGAAAAGAGGATGTTAATGAGGTATTGTCTCTTTTTTATTTTTGCTTTTATTAGGTTTTGGTTTTTAATTTTTTTCATTAATTTTTTTACTTTATTTTTCTAATATCCATCCTTTTTTATTTTTTGCTATTCTTGAATTTTTGGGTTTTTAACATTAATTTTTAATTAAATATATTTTGTAAAAAAATCAATAAATGTAATGACAAAAAATTTAAATTCAATGGACTTTTATTCATCCTGATCTAATGATGGTGCACTTTTTAAAAATTTGAAATCCATTTGAGATTTTTTTAAGTTAGATCAAAAGTTGGTTTAGGATATTTCACCTTGCTCTGGGTATATAAAATGTATATATTTTATTATACATCCATCCATTTATTATGTTAAAGTTGTAGATTTTAGAGGAATGAGAGAGAATTTATGTGGCATTCCATTCTTCTTCAAAATTATACCTTTTTTAATCTTTTTATTTTTTTAATTTTATTAAATCTATTTTTTATTTTTAATTTTTTAATTTGTTTTTTTCAATTATGTTGTTTATTTTATAAATTTTGGAAAAAAAAAAAGCTAATAGTAGAGATGATAAAAAATTCATATCAAATTAATTTTGATTCGCATCGATTCAACATATGCATACTTTTAAAAAAATGAGATCAAGTTGAATTTTTTTTTTAAATGAGATCGAGTTGAAGAGGGATTTAAGGTGTCCCATCTTTTCTTGAGTGTTAATGTGATGCCTCTCTCTTTTTTTTTTGGTTTTTTTTTTCTTTGTTTTTTAAAGCTTTTGATCTCTTTGTTTAATTTTTTCTTTTTCTTTTTAAATTGTTTTTACCTTTAGTTTTTTATTAGATAAATTTTATAATAAAAAAGTCAATTGTGATATAAATGATAAAACAATTGTATCCGATGGATCTTAATTTACCCCAATCCAATTGATGCACTTTCTTTTAATTTGGGACAATTGATTTGCATTTTTTTTTTAAATCAAGCTTGAATAAGAGTAATGTTTTGGGTAATACATCTCGACCTTATTATATATAAAAATATATTTTATTATTTATTTAATTCTATATTTATACATGTATTTAGTTAAAAATATTATTAAATATCTTAATTTAATAAATTTACGTGCAATCCATTTTGACTTCTTTGTTTTTATCATTTTATTTGTTTTTAAATTTTTTATTGGATAAATTTTTTAAGGAAAAAGCCAATGGATGTAAAGATGACAAACTACCTATATTTTATGGGTTTCGTTATAATCCAATTGATGCGAGTTTTTCTTTAAATAGGAATTACGTTAAATTTTATCTTTTTGAATAATTTGAGTCAAGTTTGGATCGAATTTAGAGTGCTCTGTCCCAATCCTCATAAAGTTATATAAAAGAATATATTTTATTATTTATTTAATTTATATTTCTATATGTACTATATTAATAAAGATATTATTTAATATCTTAATTTAAAAAATAACATTTATATATAATTAAGTTATAATTTATATTAAAAAATAAATACTTTTAAATTAGTTTATATATATATATATATATATTGTCTTCCATTAAAACTTAGTATAAAAATTTTACTTCTCCTATAGTCAAAACATAATTTTAAAAAATACAAAATAGTCCTACGGAGCCTAATTCTAGCTTTATATATAAATTTTCATATTTTACATTATACATAATAAGCTTTTTTTTGTTTTTTCTATTTTCTATTTTTTCCCATTTAATAAATATTTTTTATATTTTAATTTTTTATGTGGAACCTGTTTGGGCCGCCATGTATCAAGCTTTTTTTTTCTTTTTTATTATTTAATATTTTTTATATTTAATTTTTTTCTTTTGTAAGGCCTATTTGATATTATGTGTTAAGCTTATTGTTTGTTATTCATTTTCTTACTTTTTAATATTTAACAAATATTTTTGTAATTTTTTTTGTAAGATTCATTTGATATTATTGACTAAAAATATATATTTTTTATATTTTTTATTCTTTTTTCTTAAATTAGATAACTTTGTAAAAAATTATATTGATGGAAGTGTCTACATAGCATCCAGATTTAATTTTTTTCAACCCTTATTTTTTATAAATCATTATTGTTAAAAGGTTGATAATAAAAATTTTATAAAAATAGCTTTTCATTGCTAATATCGCGTGATAACTCAATTTTTTTCTTTTTTTGTTTTAATTTTTTCTCCCTTTATTTTTTATTAGATCAGTTGTGTAAGCCAAAAAAACCAATGATGTGCCCACATGGCATCCTATTTTATTTTTTGCCTTTCGTCTTTTTTTTAATTAGATAAATATTACAATAAAAGAAATAAGTAAATATATATTTTAAAATAAAAGTCAATTGAGGTATATACAGACAACAAAAATACCTGTATACGTAGGTTTAGATTCATATGGATTTAATTGGTCCATTTTTTTTTAATTTAGGATTAGGTCGAGTTTTTTTTGAAAATCAAAGTTAAGTTGCAAGCGAGTTTAGGGTGTTTTGCCCCCTCTAAATATATATAAATATATATTTTATTATTTATTTAATTTTATATTATAAATGTATGTATTATATTAATAAAGTTATTTTTTACATTTTTTGTTTTTTTTGTTTGTTTATTTGATAAATCTTGCAACAAAAGGAATCAATCAATAAAGATAAAAAAATAATTTGTATTTAATGAATTTTGATCCAACCAATCTAGTAGGGTTGTGATTTTTTTTTTTTGAATCAAATTTGGGCAAATTGAGTTTTTTTTTTTAAAGA